CCACCACTACCACTCCTGAGCCGTGGCCTAGGTGAGGTACCTGTGGAGAAAACCGCATTTTGTAATTTCAGGTTGGTTGAGTGGGTGATTCAAGTCAGATTGATTGAGTCATGGCCCTATTTTCCGGGTGGGTGGTTGTAAAGCATAATCTTATCATTGTTCTGTTAAAAAATTTGAAAGAGCTAAATCAATAATTAACTGAGAAAAATATTATTTTTCTTTCCTTAAACAACATTATTTTTTCAATTAAATTTTAAAAAAAATACAAATTGCATTTCTATTCTATTTTCCATAACCATTTGTTCAGTCTAGGAAAACATATATGAAACTTAAGCTTCATTTAAAAAAAAGAAAATCATTAAAAACCTTGATTGAGCAGTTTGGAGCAACGTTCTTCCTTTCGCTTTCGGGAAGGGAGGATTAAGAAAATCCTATTGATTGGAGCCTGAACATAGCTCAACTATCTCAAATATACTCTCGACTTTCTCAAATATACTCTGGACCAAGAAGTCGAGACGTTCAATTTCTAACCAAATAAAAGATAAAAGAGATAAAACTTTATTTCTCTCAGTAGTTCATTCACAGCTCTAGAATGGTGGATCAGGTGTTAAAAAACATAGCATTATCAGATTACAGATCACTCGTCACATGGATTTTCTATTGAATATAAAGAAAAACTAAGGCTAAAGGGAAGAAGCAGAGAGCCAGAGCAATATCATAAACGTATGGTACAGAACTTACGCACACCTCGGAACGATCTCTTCTAGATCATTGAATCAAGACTTGCAAAATGAATGAAGTGTCTCGTCCAACGCCTTCCTGTCATAATCGCCGGTGAAAACGCAGTTTCCTAGAGGACCTTTCAGGAGAATTAGCCTTAGTAGCCCATCAGCAACCTTCTTGTCGACCTGCCATGCAAATCGAGCTTAGAATACCTGAGAGACAATAACATGAAAGTAGAGAGGAACTTCCTAAATCACTTACTGCCATTATCGATTTAAACATCTCCACCGTCATGCTGTCGGGAGGTGCAGTAGGCAACTTTGCCTGTTTTAGAATGGCAAGAACTCTGCTCACAATTGTATCATCAATCCATCCGAGACGATATGACATGTCAACTGCCATTACCTGAAAATTGGCAAAGAAACCCAACATTTAGAATTGGTACATATGAAGTAGAATGCAGAAACGGTTTGAACTCAGTGATGCAATACCGTGCCAACTGCAACAGCTTCTCCATGGAGCCACTGGCCGTACCCGAACCCAGTTTCTATTGCCTATAAAACATTGCACAGAATGAGAAGCTAATAAGAAAGGAAAAGTACTCAATGACAAAAGCAACACGTGATTCATGAACAAAAAAATACATTCTTCGAGCGAGCAAGCCATGAGATGATTTCTGGGAACGAACAAGGTATGATTTGGCCCAGCACAAACAGAGAGGATTTTGAATTGAGAAACAAATCATATTAGAAATATAAATTGTTTCTACAGTATGACGAGTTAGTGTAAGATCCTACATCGGTTGGGGAGGAGAGCGAAACATTCTTTATAAGGGTGTGGAAACCTCTCCCTAGCAGACGCGTTTTAAAAATCTTGAGGGGAAGCCCGAAAGGGAAAGCCTAAACAGGATAATATCTATTAGCGGTGGGCTTGAGTCGTTACAAATGGTATCAGAGCCAGACACTGAGCGATGTGCCAACGAGGAGGCTAAGTCCCGAAGAGGGTAGATACGGGGCGATGTGCCAGCAAGGACGCTGGATCCCGAAGGGGTGTGGATTGGGGGGTCCCACATCAATTGGACAAGGGAACGAGTGCCAATGAGAACCTTGGACCCCAAAGAGGGTGGATTGTAAGATCCTACATCGGTTGAGGTGGAGAACAAAGCATTCTTTATAAGGGTGTGGAGACCTCTCCCTAGCAGATGCATTTTAAAAACCTTGAAGGGAAGCTCGAAAGGGAAAGTCCAAAGAGGACCATATCTGCTAGCGGTGGGCTTGGATCATTACCGTTAGTGTCCAATGGAAAATATTTGAAAATCAAAATTGGTATGTTCAAACAATATATTCTTCATTGCCTCACAATCAAGTTGTACAGCAAACAGAGTGAAAGAACCCATCTTACATGTCCGAATGTGTGGCCCAAGTTCAGAGTTGCCCTTAGTCCGCTTTCCTTCTCATCCAATGAAACAACCTCAGCCTTGTTCTCACATGAGCGTTTTATCGCATAAGCTAAGGCGGCTGGATCCCTACAACGAGCCAACAGATTAAACAATTTCAATCAAGCATCCATGTAAATGACAACAAAACTACAAGATAACCCAAGTATTTGATGTACTTGGAACCCCCCTCTCTTGAGTAGAATGACTCAAGTCCTAATCCAACAAAGAATTAGGTACCTTCCTACTTTCTCACTCTCTTTATGTATAACCAAATTCCTAATGACAACTTCTCTAACTGATTACTATTATATCCTTAATACTTGAATTCAATCCTAATAATACTCCTATCAATAAATATCAGGAGATAGAAAGAGAAGCAGCTTAACAAAACACAAGATAACAAAATGGTAATTGAATAAGAAAAAATGCCCTTCATACAAGGAAAGCTAGTGTATATCTAATGAAAACACTATAAGTGGAAGGACTCAATAGAGCCGAAATGAAATTTATAGTCTTGTAGATATCAAACTAAAATACAGAATAATAGGAGAACATATATAAATTCAGCTTCAGTTAAAAAATAGATTAAGATGATTAAATTTACCCAAAATGTAACGGATCAAAATTTTGAGTTTCGTGTTGATTTGACATGGTTTAGGAGCATGAGGTCCTCAAAGTTCAAATTCTTACTATGTTATCTCCATCTCCTTCCTTTGATATTAATAGCACATATATTGAAGCCTCATGAATGAAAATAATATTCGAGTCGCCTACTAAAAACTCAAACTTTTGGCTCTAATAGTGCAATTTTCATTTATGACAGTCAATTTAACTTCATTTAAATGCTTTGGCAGAATAGAAGCATATTGGACATAAATCAATAACATTTTACACACGCACCTTGCCATCAATGAAGGCATGTTCTTCTCCTGCCATTCAAAAAACTCGGCATCCCTAATAAGTCCATACTTGATGACCTCCGCAAAACCAGAAGCCAGTTCCCTTTCAGGTAGTGTGTTTAATGTGTCGGTATCTACAACGACACATTGAGGTTGATAAAATGCACCAATCAAGTTCTTCCCCAGACGGTGATTTATCCCTGTCTTTCCCCCAACTGAAGAGTCCACCTAGAACACACAGGTAGAAGAACAAGAAATGTTAAACAAAGGATCATCTCAAGTTTAAAAAGAAAAAAGCTAAAAAAAAACACTTCAAAAAAGCTGCATACTTGTGCCATAACAGTCGTGGGAATCTGAATGAAGTTAACCCCTCGGAGGAAAGAAGCAGCAGCATAACCACACATATCGCCAATTACACCACCTCCAAGGGCTACAAATGTACATCGCCGATCAAGCCGCGACTCGATAGCCTTGTCAAATACTTTCATGAGTGTGTCCTACTAATTCAAGATAGTGATTAGTTTCATTCTTGGAGAAATTGGAAGAGCCAAAAAGTTTTACAGGGAGGGGGAAGTTTTTACATTCCAACTTCTTATGCATGCAATCTTTCAATTTTAACAATGACATTTAGGGAGCAGAGGAAGCTAACTTAAACTACTTACCATATCCTTGTACTTCTCACCATCTGGTAAAATCACACTTTCAATTGAAACATTAGGATTCCCAACAGTTAAAGCTTCAGCAACTTTATCTAAATACAATGGTCCAACAGTATCATTCGTGACTATAAGCACTCTCTTCCCATGAACATGCCTGTCAATTTAGTAAGACCAGCACAGATAAGGAGAGAAGCCAATGAACCATCAAACAATTCATTTACACTAATTAGCTTCGAGTACTTACGTGACAAACACAAATTCATTTTAATTAGCATACCTCTGGAGAATCTCAGGCTGATCGAGAAGACCGGATCCAATGTAAATCGGATAGCTCCGGTCACCCAAATCCACCTCAACAATCGTCGGAGCAGAGGAATCAGTTTTACTCGCTGACTGATCCATAATCTGAGCAGATCTCGCCCAACTCTTCCCTCTCATCGGCCTCAAACTCAAACCAGAAAATCCATTTCGATTCAACTCAATCCGAGTTGGAGACGAACGGAAATTGACAGAATAGCGATTGCGGATCGGGAAAAAGCAGCGGACGGCGGAGGATTTGAGAGTGAGGTCAGAGGCGGGAGAAAGACAGAGAGAATTTGGGATGGTATCCATGAATCAGAAAACCTAGGTCGTGTTGGAAGAGATTTACGGCGGCGGAGAAATGGAAGGAGTTGGTGGAGAGTTTGAGGCATTGGGACGAAGAAGAAGGGGAAGAGAGATGGGAGGCGGGCGTCGTTCGATTCAGTGGTGGCGGGCGGGTTAGGTGGGGGCGGGTCGAGGTTGGTAAGGAAGTTACCAATATCTCGCGATAATTTATGATTATACTGTATGTATCGTGATATATTGATGAGAATTTGACCGAAACCGAAGAAATGTGAATGAAATTGGTTTCGGTTCTCATTTTTTTTTTAATAAAAATTTTGGTTTCTCAAATTTCAAAGTTGGTTGATGTGCTTTTAAATATTTATTTTAGTTTTTTGGAATAAAAAAATTATTTATGTAATTTAGTTGATTCAAATTTAAAAAATTAATTTTTTTTTTTTTTAGAATTTGAATATTTCCTTTAAAAAATGGTAAGAAACAACCAAATTTAATATTAAAATTCACAATTGTTATTATTATTATTGGAAAATATTTAAGAATGGGTAGTTAGAGAATAAAATAAAACAGAATGGGCCCTACCACGCAATCACTCCCATTAAGCTGCAGTACTTACTTAGTTTATATGGATCGAAACCCGACAAAATCTTCGGATTCGACAATTCGTTTGTACCTATCGAAATTCAATAAAACTCCCAAATTCGACAACTCGTTTATACCCATTGAAATTCAACAAAACTCCCAAACTCGACAACTCGTTTATACCCATCGAAATCCAACAAAACTCTCAGACTCGACCGCCCGTTTGTACCATCAAAACTCCCATACTCAAAAACTCGTTTATACCCATTGAAACCCAACAAAATTCTCAGACTCAACGACTCAGTTATACCCACTGAAACCCAATAAAACTCCCAGACTCGACAATTCTCGACAATTCGTTTATACCTGTTCAAACTTGACAACTCGCTTATACTCATGGAAACTCAACAAAACTCTTAGACTCGACAATTCGTTTGTACCCATCGAAACCCAATAAAATTCCCAAACTCGATAACTCGTTTATACCCATCAAAACCCAACAAAACTCTCAGACTCGACAATTCGTTTGTGTCCGTCAAAACCCAACAAAACTCTCAAACTCAACAATTCGTTTGTGTCCATCGAAACCCAACAAAACTCTCAGACTCGACCATTCGTTTATGCTCATCCAAACTTGACAACTCGTTTATACCCATCGAAACCCAACAAAACTTTCAGACTCGACAATTTGTTTGTACCCATCGAAATCCAACAAAACTTCAAAATTCGACAACTCGTATATACCCATCGAAATCTAACAAAACTTCAAGACTCGACAACTCGTTTATACCCATCGAAACCCTAAAACGCTAACAAGATGGTAACGTTGATAAGAATATTGTCATTATTTTCTAAGCAAAGAAAGAACCAAACTAACATGCTCCACCTCTCTAGTATCAGCCACCATGATTTCTTCAAATCTCTTAAACAATGACTCTATAATATCTCCTCCAAAATGGGCTCTTATCATACATTCATTCACAGCTTGAATGGCCTTCGCCATTTGTTGGGTTGTCTTTGATCGTTCATAGCTTTCCCCATCTCTATTCACACCATCCCATGCCAAAGCAATTATCTCCAAATTCTCTATTTTGAAGGACCCTTCTTCCTCTATCTCCCTTCTCACATCCTCCACATACGGTTCATAATAAGGAGTGTTGTAGCTATCTACTTTCTCCTCCTCAATAAGCCCCTAAATAAACATATAAATAATTTGGTTACTCGACGAAGAAAATTATCTTATTTCGGTTCGTAAAGTTTCTAAAGATGTCTATAAGTCCCTAAACTTTTACTTTTCTATCTAGTTTTCGACATTTTTTTCACAATTTTTAAAAATTAACTGATCGAATTTTATGTTGACGAGCATATTTGGTGCATAATTGAATCTTAAAGGAGTAGTTATTTGGTGTTTTAAAAAATTCAGTGACCAAATGAACACAAACTTGAAAGTTTAAGGACGACTATCTAAGACAATTAGAGAGGGGTTGGGACACTGGCTCCCCTCCTTCCTTCCTCCGACCTAGCTCGGGTGCAAGAATAAGTCTCGAAATTATAAAAAAGATGGGTTGAATATATATATACCTCATGGACCAAAGCTTGGAAGGCTAGCCCCAAGTAATCCCAAAGAAGGCAAGTTTCATCGGGGCATGGATCTGGCTGCCTTCTTCCTCTGAAAGTTAAAACCATTCTCCCTCCACACACCACTTCTTTTGATCTTGACTTCAAAAAACAACTGAAATCCTTCTTGAACTGACCATAATATGCTTCTATTACTTCACTTGGGCTTGTCTTTGATATGAAAATCTTCCCTTTGTTCCTTATTCCCTTCCCTTTCTCACTCAGCTCTTGAGGTACCTGTTTTCAACTTTCATGTTTCATTCATTCATCAATCCTCGTTCTTATTCGATTTGATATACGGAATGAAAGGTTACCGTATAAGTTTAACCCTTAAATTTTGAGATTTTGTGTCTGTTTGTGTAATAGTCCAAGCCCATCTCTTATAGTAGACATTGTTCTATTTGGGTTCTTCCTTCTAAACTTTTCCTCAAGATTTTAAAACTTCGGGAGAGGTTTCCACACCCTTATAAATAATGCTTTATACCCCTCTCTAACTAACGTGCGATTTCACAATAAGACACTGAGTAGTGTGCCAGCGAGGATGCTGAGCTCTCCAAAGGGATGGATTGCGAGATCTCACATCAATTGGAGAGGGGAACGAGTGCCAGCAAGAACGCTCGCCTCGAAGAGGGGTGGATTGTGAGATCTCACGACGGTTGAAGAGAACAAACCATTTTTTATATGGGTATGGAAACATCTCTGTTTTAAAACTACAAGTTGGAGAGAACAAACTATTTTTTATATGTGTGGAAACATCTCTGTTTTAAAACTTTGTGGAGAAGTTCTAGAGAAACTTGTAGGGAAGTTCTAGAGAATATTTATCCATAGTGACTTTGGGTGAATATAATTGGATCATCATTCAAAAGTGTTTAAGAATGTAAAATTCAAATGGCTTTCAAATATTTATTTTAATCCTTAAATTTCAAATTTAAATTTATTTTGCGATGATTACATGAATGTAAACTATTACGAAGATTTGAATAGAGACTAACCTGAGAAAGCCAATGGAGACTGGAAGAAGAATGCACAAAATGAAGACTGTTAGAAGCAAACAATCTTCCATAGAAAGATCCTGGAACTCCAGCGACAAAACACTCATCCATAGCCGACGATCCGCCGTTCTTCTTGTTCGACAATCCTCTGAAAACAGAGTTGAAATCGTTCTCCGCCAGATCGTTCAAAAACACAGTCAACTCCGGCGCTTCACCGCCGCAACAGCCGCGGATCACGCCGACGATCTCGGAGATCGCGAAGAGCGCGTTCGGTCCTGAAGAGCAGCCGAGGTCGGCAACGGCAATGGCGGGCGGCAAATCGGCTGCGCATAAGGCAGCAATGGCGCGGCGGAGCAGAGGCCGGGATCCGGACTGGTATTTACTCTGTGAGATTGAGTTTGTGGCGTAGCTTTGGTCGCCGATTCCTTGGTTCATTGTGAGAATTTTTGGCGCTTCCGAATTCTGGATTTCCGCCATTGATTTGAAACTCTATGCTCTGTAGTGATTTTCGCGATCCTCTTATTTAATCTCTCCCATAAGTATGATCATTGACTTAATTAATTAGGGTCCATTAAATATAAATATAAACCATGGATGATGTCTATAAATTATTTATCATCATATTTTTATTATTAAATTAAAAAAAGACAAACGGTTGTTCGGCTGTCTATGACTTAGTTTATCTATAGAAATGCATTTTGTTAATCTTATAAACATATTGATCTACTTTTATTGGTCGATAATATATTTTAATCAGTTCAATTATTATTATTATAATCTTAAAATATTGTTCAGAACATAGACTTAGTTACACCAAACACTTATGATAATTAAAAATATAAGTATAATCAATAATTTAAATACGCTTCATTTACTTATAAATTTGTCTCTCTCTTTTCATTATTAACTTAAAAAGCTTAATTTTCTCATTTTCCTTTCGGAATTATCTTAAGAAGAAAATAATATTGTATGACATAGTATATTCTTCAATAAATTATATTACAACTTTAATCCGACTCAAAATAATAATAATAATAATTTTTATTATTGGGGGAAGGATATAAAAAGATTAGACTTTAAATAATAATATAAAATTATAATAGTTTTGGAATATTTATTTCTAAAAAAAAGTATATTTTAATGATAGAAAACTCAACTAATTCAAATTCCTCAATCCAAACTATCAAAGTAGGATTAGATCGTGAAAGAGAGATTTTCGAGCCTGCAAACTGTAAGCAACAACGGTGGAAAAGCCATTGCGGCTAGCTTGTAGTTTAGGGTTGGGGTGTCCTTTTCGAAAACGGATATCGTTTCTAAGGTCAAATTTTTGGAACTCTAGTTTTGGAGTTTTCCCCAACCTATACCCTTACTAATAAATAAAAACCTATACCCTTACTAGAGCTTACATTTTTCAGCTGCACTACTATGGCACGCATAAACAATAATCTGCTCGCTAATCTAAAAAATATTTAATCCAATCGAACCAAAAATAGGAGTACAACCTAACCATACTTTTAAAATCTATGAAATTAAAAATATTAGACGCCTATAACTGAGATTACCAAGGTTAGTGATAATTCAAATTTGTGAATATTTGATATTTGAGTTTTGTACCTTCGGATTTATGAACATTTGATATTTGAGTTTTATATGATATGAATTATGAATAAGTATGATTTTTTCAAATAATTAAAAAAAGAACCCGACAGATTTTTTCAAATAATTAATAAAAGAACAATACGACAACCCAACCTAACTAAAAAACAGAGGGTTGAGTTGAATTGTTAACTCTATTTAAAGTTGCTTGAGTCACCAATCCAACCAACCCAAAATTTTGAGTTGGTTCAAAAGAAATTTCAAACCGAACTCAATCTGTGTGCACCCTAATTCCAATGGGCTCGAAAGGAAGAGGACTAAAATAACACACTTTATAAGTCTCATTCCCTAAAACCATAAGATAATATGTATATAGCAAATCCCTATATAAGGAAACTCAATTTGGTGTTCATTGGGTGCATGAAGCTGACTGCAATGCTTCAATGGTGGGTCCAATTCCATGACAATCTTTCCAGGTTCGAAGTTTAAGCACATTGCAAAAGATATAAACTTAACCAGACCAAGTCAGTGAGTACTACAAGAGAAGTGATCATGTTTCCTTCGGCCGGGACTTCTTGGCAGCCTCTGCCGCTGCTTTTTCTGCTTCAATCTCAGCAACAATGGCATCAATTTCAGCTTCCTCCAATTGTTTCAAACCATGTTCCTTTGTCATCACAGCAACCTCTATGTTCTTTCCTCCGCTCTCGACAACCTACAAATTGAGTAGAGTCGATGGAAGTAAATCGCTAAGTATCACAGATAAACATTCAAGAAACTCACTCAACTCAAACATTTGGTATATTTATGGCAACACCTCTGAAGAATGAAGGATAATTGTAAACTCAGATATGTTAACTTAGGACATTAAATCACGAACCAATATTCATAACGGCCGTTGGCTCGATTACTCGAGATCAGCTAAGTTAACCAAGAAGAGGTCAATGCAAAGCAATGGTTATATCTATTTTGGCATTTCTAGTTGGCGTTTTTGTACTAATTTTTTAAGGTTGTTTCTCTTTTAGGGTGTGTTCTTATTCTCATAAGTGACCTATTTTTTCCAAAACCTTATGGAATTGTTTCTAAAACGACTTTTCCATTTGCCGTCTAATGTTTTAAGCCCTCGGAAGATTAAACAATGATCCAAAGAAACTTTCGAGTAAAGGATCGGGTATACAAACCAAAGGGAAGCGTGTTGTAACTCGCATCCCTATTAGTGGAATAGCTTCTTATATATGTACTACAATTTGGACTGCTTAAAGATCAAATTGGTTCTTAGGGTAAGGAATAACCAGTTACACTAAAGGATCTGCGCAGTACAGCAAGAAATGGCCAAATCCTTTGACCGCTTAATAACCGAATCATTCATTTTTTCTTCGATGAATGAACCATGGATGAAAGTACAAAGGAAAGTTCAAAGGAGAGCCACAAAAACAAAAATCACCCCAACTAACAGAGGGAATACCAAAAAGCATGCAAGCTATGTGCCTACCAATAAGCATCAGTCATGATACAACCACAACTTATTTTCCATTTTGTACATCAAATCACGAACCTCCACAGTGGTACGATATTGTTCACTTTGAGCATAAGCTATCGTAGCTTTTCTTTTGGTTTTCTCTCATACCAATGGAGATAGTATTCCTTACTTATAAATTCATGATCTTCTCCTTAATTAGCCAATGTGGGACTCCCTCCCAACCATCCTCCTCTCGAACAAAGTACACCATAAAACCTTCCTTGAGGCCTATGGAGCCCTCGAACAGCCTCCCCTTAATCGAGGCTCGACTCCTTCTCTGGAGCCCTCGAATAAAGTACACCCTTTGTTCGATACTTAGTCACTTTTGACTATACCTTCGAAGCTCACTTTTTTGTTCGACATTTGAGGATTCTATTGACATGGCTTAGTTAAGGGCATGACTCTGATACTAGAGATTGTGAACACACACAAACTAACTCAAAATGAAACTTTGAAATCAATTGCATTGAAAAACAAAACAACTTAGCGACTTTTATAGGCCTTACAAACAAATGAGATTAGTATTATAAACTCTAAAAATAATAAATTAACAATCCACTAAATGATTTAATGGTCCTTACATCCCTAAAGAAATGGTCTAATTTAACCATTTCAACCCTAAAGAAACGGTCTAATATGACTATCTTTAACAATTTCTCTGGAGGACAAAGACACAACTCCATCACTAGAGTAAAAACACATTGATGTGAGGTTTCATTTCTTGCGTGATTTGACCAGAGATGGAGTTATTGAGCTGAAGCATTGTGTCACACAAAAACAAGTATGTGTGCGTAGTACCACGAGTAAAACTGAAAGCACTTTTGCCATCAGTTTTAGAGAGAAATTGTTAAAGATGGTCGTATTAGACCATTTCTTTAGGAATGTTAGGACCACTAAATCATTCAATGGGTATTAATTTATTATTTTTAGAGTATCCTATTTTTATCGTTTACTAATTTCATCTGTTTGTAAGGCCTATAAAAGCCACAAGTTGTTTTGTTTATCAATGCAATTGATTTCAGAGATTTATTTTGAGTTAGTTTGTGTTGACTAATTAGTTTGGGTAGATTTCAAATCCTGCTAATAGTCAAAAAGTCTCATATAATCACCACACCAAATACTAAAGTAGCTTCATGTAAACAAACTACTGTATTCAATCAAGGAATACCAAACACCCATTACAAGTCATGATCAAACAACTACTTGAGTTCAGAAACCAAACAAAGGTTCTATTATCCAAAAGAACTTTACATGCAAACCATGTCTTTTGGAAACAAGGAACAGAGATAAATGCAAGCAATTAACTTTGAAAAATCCATTCTGCAGTAAAATAGGTTGGCTATGCAAGAAATTTGTAACCGCTCAAGTCCATCACTTCGCTTTGGCCCGTTACGTATTGCCGTCAACCTCACGATTTTAAAACGCGTCTACTAGGGAGAGGTTTCCACACTCTTATGAGAAATGCTTCATTCTCCTCTCCAACCGATGTGAGATCTCATAATTCACCCCCCTTGGGGGCCAGTGTCCTCGTTGGCACACCACCCGGTGTCTAGCTCTGATACCATTAGTAACAACTCAAGCTCACTGCTAGCAGATATTGTCTGCTTTGGCCTATTACGTATCGTCGTCAGCCTCACGATTTTAAAACACGTCTACTAGGGAGAGGTTTCCACACTCTTAAGAGGAATGCTTCGTTCTTGTCTCTAACCAACGTGGGATCTCACAATCCACCCTCTCATGGGGGTCAACGTCCTCGCTGACACACTGCCCGGTGTCTAGCTTTGATACCATTTGTAACAGCCCTATTTACAAAGTGCAAGTAAAGAAAACAAGAAAAGCTATAACAACTTGCCTCGAGCAATGCACGGATAGCAAGCTTCACAGTTTCTTGCCCAGAAGTCTCCTTGTAGTTCTTCTCAAGAAATTCCCTAATCGAATTTGAATTTCTCCCGGTTGCATTGGCTTTCCAAGAGGAAAAAGTCCCAGAAGGATCTGTCTGATACAATGATGGAGTACCAGTGTAAGGATCAAACCCAATAATCAAAGTGGAAAGACCAAATGGCCTCACTCCACCACTCTGTGTGTACTTCTGCTGAAGCCCTGCAATGTATCGCGTTATATACTCAACAGTAACTGGATCCTCAACTGTAAGCCTATGGCTTTGACACTCAACACGAGCCCTGTTGATCAGAACTCGTGCATCTGCTTTGAGTCCAGCACAAGCAAGTGCAATATGATCATCGAGATTCACAATTTTTCGAACCGATCTGCAAACAGTAAATCAGATATGAAACAAATAGAAAGAACAATCGCCATTTCAATAACCCTAAAATTCGACCTAACAAGAAACTTCCAACCCAAAAATTAGGTCAAGTCAAATCAAATCAAATCAAACTCGATACGAGGTTCTGACAGTAACTCAATATCCTGATTCTAACAACCTTGAAGTAGGATGAATTCGTTAAAGAGGAAAAGAAATTGAGAGAGTGACCTGGAATCTTGGAGTTTGGGGGTGGATTTCTTCTCGACGCCAAGGACGACGGTGTCGGAACCGCGAACCCCGACGGCGGCGTTGCCCTTGCGGACGGCCTCGAGAGCGTATTCTACTTGGAAGAGATGACCGTCCGGTGAGAACACCGTAATGGCTCTATCGTATCTCGCCATTTTTCTTGTGTTTTAGCTCTGACTTTCTCTGCGAAGAAAGTTCGGAACTTGATGAACAAGTTGTTTAAGCTCTCAGCTACCCTTTTGGGTTTCTATGCATTTGGAAGAGATCTCACTTCCTTTTGCACTTTCTTTTTCTTTCTCAACAAGTTAATGTTATATATATATATATATATATATATATATTCTAAAGTGTTTTTATTCTCTTTTTAATTTTTTTGGTTTGTCTCGGGAAAGCAAGTTTGTTCAGCCACACAATCCGTTCATGCGTGCATATTCAATCATGTGTGACACAATCATCTTGCATCTCATTGTCATCACGGTTCCCAACAATACGATTCATGCATCGTGATGTCATCCCATGTCTCGAGACACATCGGTCATCTAAGCTCGTTCGGACACATCCGTTGGGAACTGACCCATGTGTCGATCATCTCATCAAGACATCACGAACATCCATTCATCCCAGTTCTCTCAAACATCAAACTCTCCTATGCACCATTTATGGCGTTCCAAATAGCAGGTGCATAATTCAACCTCGGCTGAGACACAACATCAACACATTTGTACTGTTGATACTGTCTTTGAAAGACATTTTTTAAAGGAAAACGCTCGAGACACTCGTCCCGTGCACCCACGTTGTGACACACATGTGCCACAAAGCAGCTTGCTTAGGTCGGAGGACCGAGGGATGGTTAAATGATTACGAAGAGAAGAGCTTAATTCCCCTCTTATTCTTACTTTTACTTGCACGGTTAGAATGTTCTTTACATCATAATACCTAACTTTGTTATCTCACTACTAATTACAAAAAGTGGGAAAACTTAAGCAGCCTTTCATCTGCCCTACAACAATATGTACAAAGCTCAATGGACACAAAGAACCTACCTACTTATGGCAGCAAATTTACACTCTTCAGCATTAAACCCGTCTCTTGAATATATGCCCCGTTCCGACCCTTAAATGCCTTCTCGTCTCCTTTTTGTTCGGTTAAAAAGTGACCATTTTGATTTGCAAAACCGAAAATATTAGCACGTAGTGTAGCTCGAGAATCGTAAGCAACGTTTCTTAGACTTTTCTCTGAGTGAGGGAAAGTATGGTGGATACCATCAGCTTATAGTCAATTGGCTTTGTTAGGTATGCATCCATTCCTACCTCCAAGCATTTGGCTTCATCCGACGACATTGCGTGAGCTGTCAATGCTACGATCGGTATGTGAAGGCTTGTTCCCAATTCTAGCTTTCTAATCGCTTTTGTTGCTTCGTAGCCGTCCATCTTTGGCATCTGTTTCAAATATTAAGAAAGTTTGTACGGTTCGTAAGTACATATAGGATTTAGATCATAAGAAACTTTGCATCATGTTTCATTTTCAACTATCAAAGACGATGTGATTTGAAGTTAGCAGTTGGCTTGTGTACCAGCTCAAACCCACTAGTAGATACTGTCTTCTTTGGGCTTTCCCTTTCAAGTTTCCCCTCAAGGTTTTTAAAACGGCTAGGGAGAGGTTTTCATGCCCTTATAAGAAATATTTCATTCCCCTCTCCAAGTGATGTGCGATCTCACAATAGACCCCAGACGGTGTGCCAAGGAAGACGCTGGAGCCTAAAGGAGTGTGGATTGTGAGACCTCACATCAATTTGAGAGAACAGAGTCCCAGTGAGACGTTGGGTCCCGAAGCGGGGTGGATTATGAGATCCCACATTGGTTGGAGATGAAAACGAAACATTATTTATAAGGGTGTGGAAAGCTCTCCCTAGCAGACGTGTTTTAAAAACTTTGAAGAAAAGTCCAAAAGAGAAGTCCAAAGAGGACAATATCTGTTACCGGTGAGCTTGGATGATTACAGTTCGGGAGAGATTTAGGTTCATTATATATCAATGAAAGCATCTCTAAAGTGCAAAGAAAGCATCATCTCAATTTTGGCTCATGGAGTGTAACGTTAAGTTGGCACTTACTTGGCAATCCATCAAGACCAAATCATATCTTGTGGGGCATTCTCTTCTTTGCTCTTCAGCACTAAGCATTGCAGTCAGAGCTTCAACAGCCAGCAGCCCATCTCCGACAGGGATCACCGTGGCTCCCATTCTTTCGAGCATTATCGTCGTTACTCTTTGAAGAACCGGTGTATCTTCTGCAAGCAAAATGCGTAGCCCTTCAAGAGATTTCTTACCATGAACATTATTAGAATCTGATTCTTCTTGGCTTTTGGGATAGTTTCCTCCAAAGTTCAGTCCATTGGATGAGTCTTGTCTCATGTCACATGAACCACCGGTCCTTGCGTTACTCGCAGTCGAACGTACACGAGTTAACTCAACTAAGCTATCGTTAAGGGACAAAAATGGCGGCTGACAAGGTTTTGGCATTGTTTCTTCTTGAAATGTTGCACACTGAGACTTGGACTTGTCAAGTTCAGCTAAATCAGAATCATCAGAGCTAGCAGTTTCAAACTGAGTTGAATCAATTTCAAGGCATTCATGATAATCCCCTTCTTTTGATGCATTTCTTAAACCATTTTTCCTCTGAATCTCAAGACTTCTGTCCTTCATAACAGCTTCCAAAATATGAATCATTTTTGCTCTATACAGCGGCTTATTGTTCACTATAAAGTGTCCTTTTCCCCGAAGCTCCGTCTTCATGGCGTTGGACGTATCGTGGTTTAACATCCACGCAAACTTCACTTTTCCAGAGTACTTGTCAAGGAAGTAAAGTTGATCCTTCCAAATATCCGTGCTCAAGTCCAGTATCCCGATATCGGCAACGACGATGAACGTTTGGCTTTTCATGTCCTTAATTCTCGTTAACTCGGCTCGTAAGGGTTCACCGAGGGAATCCTGTGGACTAAATCCCTTTTTGTTTTCAAACTTTCTGGCTTGAAAGAGTTCTTGAAGGATTAGAGTTAGTTCATTCCATTCTGAAGCCTCTAAAGTGAACAGTCCGATCTTACAAAGCCACTGCGATGTGATTAATCGACTCGTGCTGCCACGGAGTGCGAGCAGTACCTGCATTTGCACACAAAAACATCGATATTAACGAGCTCGAGACTTTTGTCTTAAGAAATGAGCCATGTCTGAAAACAAACTCAAGGCTTCATTTCTTCACTTACCACTGCATTATGTTTTGCAAAATCAAATTGACATTGATGATCTATGGAGTCTACAGGTGTGCTGAGAACCAAATAAAGTCGCATTAGAGTTCCCGGGCCGTTTTTCTTTACAACCTTGATTTCACCACCCATCTTGTTAACCTGTTATTAGCCTCGGTTAATGAGATGCTTATAGAAACGCTCTAAGCTTCGAGCAGGGGGGTTGGTGCTGGGAAAGGATCGGTCGAACTTACCAAGGTACGTACAATGCATAGTCCAAGACCAGTGCCACCGTGCCTGAAAAATGTAGCATATCTTTATACTAGATATTGAGCTATGAAAACTCTTGACAGCATCTTTAACTGTTTTAACTACTTACGTTCGGGTTGTCGAGGGATCTGCTTGCTCAAAGCTTTCAAAAACAGACTCCCATTTGCTAGGATCGATCCCTGCAACGAGCAGAGAAAACGGTACTTCTTAGCATCTAGAAAGTTTAGGAAATTATCAAGTGTTCTTCTGGTTGGCTTTTGACATACCACAGCCAGTGTCATCAAGTTCAAACCATAAGGTCATTTTGTTATCTTTCTTGAACGCGTTCTTCGCGTGGTCTCCCTGTTGTTTCATCTTCGTCCGATTTGGAAACCGTGATTTCTTTTGATCCATACAAGACTTTCCCATTTCTTTGAGCGTATTTGACGTCTCGCACCACCCTCGAAGAATGATGTGACCAGCTGCAAAACATTCGAAACGGTTAATCAATTCTTTGATAAGCAACACTGGTGATAAACAAGATCCCTTACTAGTTGTGAATTTGATAGAGTTGCTAATCAAGTTCGTGAATATTTGAACAACCCGACCGGAGTCTCCTCGAACTAATCTCGGCATATCATCTAAAACAATAGCATTGTATTAGAGCATTGCATAACTTGTAGTGTAATCAATTCGTGAAAGGAAAACGTACCAGAGAGATCCAATACAGTTTCCACATTATGATCAATGCATTGCACGGAAAACATATCAACAAGCCCTTCGAGTTCTCGTCCCAGATCAAACTCTGCATCTTCCAAAACTAGCTTTCCAGATTCAACCTAAGTGATTATTCGAATGATAACAATTAGCCTATGATCTTTCACGCCATAACCAAAAAAACAGAACAAAATTTCGTAGAACCAACAAAGCGAGCTTATTTTACCTTGCTTAGATCTAGAATGTTGTTAAGAAGTCGGAGTAGAGCTGTCGAGCATTTTCGAATCTGAGTGACTGTCGAAAACTGTTCGTTATTAAGACAATCATCGCACATTAGAATGTCGAGCAGTCCAATTACCGCAGCCATCGGTGTCCTCAGCTCATGACTGCAATATCAATAAAGTATAAACTAACATTGTTCTTAACACGCACGCCAAGTCGTTACGTTATTCGTCCATCGTTTTAAATGATCTCACCTCATATTCGCGAGAAATTGACTCTTGTAATTACTAGATGCCTCTGCTCTTCTTCTTGCATCAAGATGGCTTATTAGTTCAGCTCTTAGTTTCATTTCCTTAGATACTCCTTTTGTCAGAATCAAAATGAATAGACATCCAACAACTAAGATGCACAAAGAGGCAGAAATGAGTATAACCAATGTTTTGTAAGCTCTTTCATCTACCTTTCCCATTATGTATTGCCTAGGAATGATAACAACCCCCACCTACAAAAACCGAAAGGATCTTGTTATGTTCATAACGATTAGATAAAAAGAAAGTCAATGGATCGATGACAAAACTTACAATGGGAAGCTTCTTTAGATTAAGAAAAAATGAGTCGATGTAATATTGCTGACCACCAAGCTTGACGTTCTCTTCATGGACCTCATGACCAGGAGGAAAGTTGTTTCCATAGGTTTTGTGTAGCCATTCGGCTCCTAATCGAATCACGTCATCTTGGGAATCGACAGCCATCATAAGCTTCCGACCGGTCGATGTATTTCTTAACAAGGGAGCATTGGCTGAAGTAGCAAGCAAGTAGCCCTCTTGAGAGGTTAGATAAATATGTCCACTATGGAACTCAACAAGCTCCTTCATAAGTTGACCGACACTCGAAAGTGCGGTCGTGACACCGACCACCGCAACTATGCTTTCGTTTGAAGCATCTGAAACAGGCAGGGCTGCTGAAAGCAATGGTGTATCCATGTACTTGCTGACAGTAACATGCCATGAGGCAACACCATCAGCTACCTGTGAAATGCCAGGAATGTTAATCAAGTCCTCTGGTGGGATTTGCCTTGCTTTCCCCATCTTCTCACCGCTGATCGGATCAAGTGGTTCCCGGTACCATTTTGCAGAAACATTGCCATGTATGGGTGGTTCCGACCACCCTTCACCCGATGAAAGTCGATTTATATTATATGATTGAGTGGCAGTGATGGAATAGTTTGCAAGATCCGAGTAAATATAAAACGTATTGTTGCTTCTATGATCTCGATGGAACGCTTGGACAAAACCATTCTTGTAATTGATTGTTATGGCATTAAGAGCTTTTCGACTTGCAAACATCGCCCACGTAACGTCTCTCATTGCTTCATACAACTACAGAAAAACACAGACATGAAACATGAATTCAAAGCTAAAAGTATGTGTAACGGCCCAGGCCCACTGCTAGCAGATATCGTTCTCTTCGGGCTTTCCTTTTCGGGCTTTCCCTCACAGATTTAAAACGCGTTTGTTAGGAAAAGGTTTCCACATCCTAATAAAGAGTGTTTAATTCTACTCCCCAACCAACGTGGGTATCACAATATGAAAGGTAAATCAGGCAAGGATAAGAAAATAACCTCAACTTGCTCTGCTTGATTCACTGGCTTGCTGTACTTCCTCATTACATATTCTGAAAGCTTAACCTGAGCTGTGGTTATTTCAGCTGTGGAATTCAAGACACTCCACATCCGTAAGATCGGGCGCTGCAGCAGTTCATGACGAAGACCATACGCTAAGCTGTCGAGCGACTGTGCCGTGTAGCTCTTCGTGAAGTGCCATGTGAGTATTGTCAGCATCCCAATCAAAATAGCTAGCATCACCTGTATTATAATGTAATAATCATCACTGTCAAGATGTATATCAAGCTGAATGGCACTGATATCATTTCACTAGTGGGTGGTATTAATTTTGAACTTGAATGAGTATCAGATCATTCCCAAAGACTAACCATTATGGCAAGGCGAGCAACAAAGACACTGTAATAAGAAGAAAGGCAATGAGAGCTTGCATATTGAAACTCTTGTTGTTCAACATCTCTGTGAAAGATTCTTCTGCTGTGAGGGGCTGTGTTTCTTCTCAGAGAAGTTGCAAGGCCTGAAATTCTACAGAACACCTTCCGCAATGGAGTGGACATTGTAGAGGTGAGAGCTGAAGAAGACGACGACGACGAAGAAGAAGAAGAAGAAGAAGAAGAAGAAGGTTCAGAGGAGGTATCCTCTTCTGCCATTAATACTGAAACTTTACAGAAATATACATTTTTTTGAAGAAAGGGTCTGGTTTTGTTGTAAATCAAGAAGAGAATGTGTGCAAATGGGTGGAGGTTTTTAAATATACTGCTCCCATTGTCATCTCCCACTTTTTCAAGGCATGAGGCATACCTATCAGCTACAAAGTGGCAAAGCAGGTGGTGGGTTCTATTCCTCATCCCACAGTTTCCACTGCCACTACATTTGTCCAATTACTATATTGCAAAATCACACTAAACTTTGTCCGTTTTAGCCCATTATATATCGCCGTCAACTTCATGATTTTAAAATGCGATCTATTAGGGAGAGATTTCCACACCTTTATAAGGAATGCTTAGTTCCTCTCTCCAACTAATGTGAGATCTCACAATCCACCCTCTTGGAGCCTAGCGTTCTCACTGGCAGACCGCCCGATGTCTAACTTTGATACCATTTGTAACAGCTCAAGCACACCGCTAGCGGATATTGTTTGTTTTAGTTTGTTATGTATCGCCGTCAGCCTCACGATTTTAAAACACGTCTGTTAAGGAGAGGTTTCCACACCCTTATAAGGAATGCTTCGTTCCCCTCTCCGACCAATGTGGGATCTCACAATCCACCCCCTTGGAGTCCTAATGTCGCCGCTGGCACACCACCCGGTGTCTAGTTCTGATACTATTTGTAATCACCCAAGCACACCGCTAGCAGATATTGTCCGTTTTAGCCCGTTACGTATTCCTATCAGCCTCACGATTTCAAAATGCGTCTGTTAGGGAGAGGTTTCCACACTCTTATAAGGAATGCTTCGTTTCCCTCTCCAACCAACGTGGGATCTCACAATCCACCTCCTTTAGGAGTCAGCGTCCTCGTTGGCACACCGTCCGGTGTCTAGCTCTGATACCATTTGTAACCGTTCAAGCACACCACTAGCAAATATTGTCCGCTTTAGCCAATTACGTATCATTGTCTGCCTCACGGTTTCAATGAGAGATTTTCACACCCTTATAAACAATGTTTCGTTTCCCTCTCCAATCCATGTGTGATCTCACATTTCTAAAACCGAAAAGGCTCAGCAAAATTGCAATTAATGGCCACAAAGTGAAGAAGATAAAGCAGAAGATCTCCATTCAAATAAATAATGAAGAAAAAAGGAACAGTATTCATTGAAATGATTCTCTACAGCCCAAAAAAGGACGTTCCCTGTTTGAAACCAAATTAGCCATTGGCATTTATCAGATTCTGGAATATCAAACAACATACGTGTCCGATTATCAATCCACCCTTTAAATCCACAAAAAGAAATCATCAAAGAAGGGTTCAAATTTGGTGGATTCAGTCACACAACTTTAGACTTTAAAGGAAAAGATAAGGATCGCACCGTCATGCTTAAGAATCGCCGTTGGATCATACTTTGGGGAAGAACTTCGAGCGATATAGAATCATAATGAAGTAAAGAAAAAAAGAAAAAAGGAAACCCAATCACTTTTTACCTAAGATGATGATCGAGATTTCTTCACATGTTCCTCTCCCTTTATGCAAGGCCCAATAATGCTTGCGATTCTGTCACTGCGGCAATCCGTTTGCGAGGAATAATTTGAAATAAAACAATGCACCAGTTTGTTATGGGCATAAATGTGATTGGAAGTTTATGCTTGAGAGTGAGTTCGATCCTCGCAAGCTTCTATAAAACTCTTCATTAATGAAAACCGATACTATCTATTTGATTCTAATCTTTTTCAAAGTCTTATACATGGTTAAGAATTATGTATTAACCCTTTCATAATTTTTCAAAAAGGGTTTAGGACTGAGGCAGGTCAAGGACTCCTTCTTGTTCATAGAGAAATCTCTTATCAACGATAGAACAAGATACATTTTGTATCATATCTAAGGGATTCTTGGGTTCGGGCCGAAGAAGCAAAGTCATTCCATCATTATCAAATCGACTGCAATTTTTTTTCTGTCCGTGAGGATCCCAATCCCAAGAGAGCGTCTTCTACTTTTAATAAGTCATGAATTAGATTAGAATCATTCTCAACGAGTCCATAAGAAGTGATCCCATTTTTTTCATCGGGTTCGGGTAAAGACCAAAGGTCTTAAACGACCGATCCGACAGAACAACTCAAAAGATAAAGAAACCGAAAAATCATATATATATATATATATATATATATATATATATATAGATAAAACCAACTTTTATGTACAATGACATGGATGGTCCTTTATGACCTAATTTTTTTAACATATTTTAAATTTCTCAGTGGAATGTATGGTTTGATTGATAAATACATTAGTTCACAATATAGCTAACAAATTTGCACCCTTTCATGTTCGAAAAAAAAAATATTAAATTAATAAAAAATATCTCTTAATTTTATATATGGTCTCAACTAGATGCTCGATGGTGGACAATTCTTGATGTTTAAGGTTAAAGGGTTAATGCTACTTTTAAAATTTGATGAGTATCTTGACCATCAAGCATCTCGACTCGTGGAGGAGAAGGAGCCCCTACATTGGGTTCGTCTATATTCAATGGAAGAAACATTTTTTAAAATTAAAAGAGTATTTTTTAAACCGTTATTTTTATTAATTTAGTCAAAAGAAAAGGTAAAAGTACTTCATATTTGTATCCATCCCGTAGTTACTGGTAACGACGACGACAACATTTAAATAATTTTTCGTATAATATTTTAAGAAAAAAAATTACGTGGTTGATTAAAATTTGTATAAAAAGAATTTGATGGTACGTGGGAGTGCACTATTTAGGTGGCTTGACTGAGCCTCTAGAACTCCATTTTTGTGCTCCACTTCTATTCTTTATTTTCATGCCTTTCTCCATTTTGCTTATGACTCATTCTTTTTTTTTCTTATCTTATCTTTCTCTACTGCCCACTATTGTTAAAGCCAAGTGGAAAGATCTGATTCGCCACCATTTGTTGTTTCCCAAGTGGAAAGATCCAAGGTTTTTAAAGCGTGCCTACTAGGGAGAGATTTTTACACCCTTATATATAAAGAATGTTTCGTTCTCCTCCCCAACTGATGTGGGATCTCACAATCCACCCCCTTCGGGGCCCAGCGTCCTCGCTGGCACTTGTTCACTTCTCCAATTGATGTGGGATCCCCCAATACACTCAGCCCAGAGTCCTTGCTAGCACACCGCCTTGTGTCTACCCCCCTTCGGAGCTCAACCTCCTCATTGGCACAATGCTTGGTGTCTAGCTCTAATTCCATTTGTAACTGTTCAAGCCAACCACTTGCAGATATTGTTCTTTTTGGGTTTTCCCTCCAGATTTTTAAAATGCATCAACTAGGGAGATGTTTCCACACCCTAAAAAAGAATCGTGTTTCGATGTGGGATCTCACATATAGAATTTAGGAAGAAACTAGAAATTTAGTGTAACCTACCAAATAAAGAGAGATCATGTTAACCTTTTAACCTTTTAACATAGATCATTCTAGCATTCATCAAGGTGGCTCCCATGATAAAGTCAGGTAACAAATTGGTATGGTTGAGCTAGATTGTGCCAAATGAAATTGTATGATTGGTTCAATTGTGAACCATGATGAACATCTAGTCTATTACCAATCAATGATTTACTTTATGGGTCCATCTTGAAATAGTAAGCTAAGCTCCTTGTTCACCTGTTTGTATATGCATGAACGTATGCATATATATATATATATATATAACAATCGTTTTAAAAGAATAAATCTCCATTAAAAACTTGGTAAAAAAGTGAACAAAGACAGGAGAATGAGAAAAAGGGGCACCCTAAGGTTCATTTCATCAAATGTATGACAGTAACATCAAGAGATATGATTCCAAATACCCTATAAGTTGATTTGATTTGGAAGAGATTACCCAAATCCTAAAGGGATAACTTCATTTCTAACCCAAAATCTTCACATTACAGGAAGAACAAAAGTTACTAATCAAAGAAATAAAGAAGAAGAATCTTAGCTCTTTAGTGGCTAAGAATAGTCTTTGTGTTGGTTGTTTCCCTCTTGTGGAAAGGAGCATTTGATTCGATACTTAAAGTATTGTATAAAGCAAAGGATTATAAGATGCAATAAAATTAACCAATCACAATTTGATACAACTAGTAGCTAATTCATTCTCAGTATAGTCACTTTAAAAAAATTCTTACACGTGTTTGAACTCTTGAGATCGTGTTCGTTTGGTTCGACTTTAGTTTTTAACAAGTCTCTAAACTTTTACTCTTATGTCTAATAGGTAACTGTCATAACTCGGGTCAAGGTCAAACATTTGGATCCTATTTGAGTTTTAAATAAGCTTCTAAACTTTTAACCTTGTGTCTAAAACGCCATTGTCTATCACTTGAGTTGAGGTTAGACAACTAGTCCTACTTTAATTTTTAGTAAGCCTCTAATCTTCACTCTTATGTCTAATACGTCACCGTCATTAACTCAGCTCAAGGTTAATCATTTAGGTCCCAGTTGATAACCATCTCGTTTCTTGTTTTTGAGTTTTGAGAATTGAGCTTATAAACACTAGTTTCTTTGTTTATTATCTACTTTCCTAATCGATGTAGCCAAAAGTTCAAATATTTATATTAGGAAAGATAAAAACTGGGCACAATTTTTAAAAATCAAATGATTATCAAACAAAGCGATAAAAATTCATAGATCAATTTGAAACTTTTTGTAACATTCCAGACCCACCGCTAGCAGATATTTTCCTTTTTGGGCTTTCCCTTTCGGGCTTTCCATCAAGGTTTTTAAAACACGTTTACTAGAGAGAGGTTTCCACACATTTATAAATGGTGTTTCGTTCTCCTCCTCAACCGATGTGGGATCTCACACTTTTAAACTATAGAATCTAAATAGACACAAACATAAAAGTTCAAGAATCTACTTTTTAAAAATATATGAACTAAATAAACACAATCTTAAAAGTTCAAAGGTCAGACCCACCCACCTAAGATATTAAATATCTACAAAACAATTGGTCGGTAAGGCTAGTTGAAATCGACATAAGCTAATATGAACTTAAGGGGGGGAAAAAGAAAAGGAAAAAGAAAAAGAAAAACTTGTGGTGTACAATTAAGAGAGATAGATAGAAGCACATTAAGATAAAGTGGTCCAGTTAACCAAGAGAGTTTTGGTGTAATCGTTTTCAGAAACAGAAAGATAAGGTAAAGTTCTTCACCAGAAACAAAGAAATAAAACAATGGAGGAGCACTCCAATTTTCTACAGAATTTGGCTTAGTAATTGGCTGGTTTTGCTGCATTACCAACTTTTTATACTATTTTTATTAGCTGTGTTAGCCTTTGGCTAGATGTCCAAAACCCACTATCTTATAATATTATGCCACAATCATGTAGAAAAATATTCTATATTAGCAAGCATTCAGCCATCCCATATCAAGTTGTTGGCACAAGAAGACAAGAAAGTCAATTCTTTATGTTTATGAAACAATAATAAAGATATTAAAGCCAAGAATCGTACCTGCTGATGGAGGAGGATCCTGAGAGATGTTTATCTTCAAGAAAATGATTTGGAATTCTTTTGTCCTGCCTACACAGTGGGCTGCCCATCATAAAGTTGGCCTAATAATCAATGGAACAATCAGTATCAAATATTTCTGAAGTTGATACGTTCAAATCATGATACTCACCGATCTTAAACATTGATTCGATCATAACATAATAGCTACCAATCTCAAGCATTGAGTTGATCATATGATAGTCACTGATTCGATCATAACAAAACTGCTACCAGTCTCAAACATTGATTTGATCATAGGATAGTCATCAGTCTCAAACATTGATTTGATCAAAACATAATAGCTACCAGTCTCAAACATTGATTTGATCATATGATAGTCACCAATCTTAAACAATGATTCGATCAGAACAGAATAGCTACCAGTCTCAAATATTGACTTGACCATATGATAGTCACCAATCTTAAACATTGATTCGATCAGAACAGAATAGCTACAAGTCTCAAACGATGATTTGATCACATGAAATCGAGAGAGGTGAAAAATACCTCAAACACTTGTTATGAAGAGAAAATGTGGACCAATTTTTTTGAAGTCATCTCAAACATAGTTTCTGCTTTTCGACATTTATCAATGAGAACAAAATGGGGATTGAATATCCTGCAGACACTTGGTTAGAAACTGGTAGCTTGTGACCAAGATTTACAGCCTTATATCAACGGAGGGACAAAGTTTTGAGCTTTTGGGATCTTGATGGGGGGAAGAGAGCCATTATTGAAAGGAAACAGAAACCAATAATGCCATTCTTTTCATGATCCAAGTAATTGTATATACAGGAACTCTAAACAACAATATTTTTAATAAAGAAACCAAGAGAGGGCATTGAGATGAAGTGGCTCACATCTTTAATAGCTCAACTTAATTTATGACAGCAGCTCATAAGCCATACCTACTATTAGTTAAATATCAAATAATTCCAACAATTTACTTGGAGTTCTTAGCCTTCGCCTCTGCAGCTGCGGCTTTAACAGCGGATTTTGCTAAAGCTGTTGGCTTAAGAGCACTTTTTGGATTCAGAGCTTTTCGTAACTTCAAAGCAGCCCATGCCGTCCCAAAGGCGTGTCCAGCAGCCTCAAGGCCTTCATTGGTTGCATTAGCAGCTTGCTCCCCGTACCTGCAACAACAAAATAAGGAAAAGAATATAAAAGCATCATGAGTATGTGAAATGGCTTTTGAACTGCACCATCTGGCATGAAAATTGAAATTCTTTCAACATTTGGTCAAGCAGCAGGAAGATATCCAGAAATCTGTATAGAAAGTAAACTGAAAATATCTCCAGTATTTAAACCAGACTCTTAACAAAAGAGTGTATCAAATTTAAGGTTTCATTCTGTCCTGTCATAGACCCTCACCCCAGTTATTAGTGAGGTTAAGAGTACATGTTAGGGGGAGGAACTGAAGTATTATCTAAATGTAGGGCTGTTACAAAGGAACTCTCTAAACTTCCCTTGAGCTGTATTCTTGATACTCTCCGGTTCTTTTTACCTATCCATAGTAAGATGTGCAGATGGTGACAATTTACCTTGTGGTCACAAGTTCAGTTGTCACAGTGGAAGATGTAGCCATGACATTTTTTCCAGCAACTTCAACAGCATCAAAAACTTTGCCTGATTATCAGAAGATGAAATCAGTAATCAACTAAGCTACAAAAGGAATGCGTTCTTGTAGGGAAGGATTCATAAAGTGAAAATTCAGCAACTAAAGTATATCTATGATCCTAAGTAGCTAACCACAAGACTAGTTGAAGGATGAAGCAAACAACACGAAATTTAAAACCTATCATGATTGTGTTGTTAAATATCCAAGGACTGAATTTGGACAAAAGATATATACAGGAATCACATGCTATTTTTAAAATTTTGGAATGACATGCTTTCTCATAAAAATAATCAAATAATGTAAGAGTCGAACATAACTATATACTCATCGCAGTTTCGAGCTTAAGAAAGCTTTTCATCAACACCATGAAATATTCTCAAATAACAACATAAGTTCAAATTTTTCATCTATCTAGCATACTGAAGCTAACATGTCTCTCAAACATTTTAAAGCTATTTTTAAATAGTTCAGTGTGTATATAAGAAAAATCAAGTCAATAGATCGATACAGAGAAAAGGAAAGGAGATCGAAAAACAAAGTAGAGTTGATGACGAACCAAAGCCATCAAGAGAAGCCACTACAATTTCTCCTGGAAGCATTCCAAAAAACTTCTTGCCAACTTTCGAATTAGCCACTGAACTTGTAAGGAATCCAGAAACTTTAACAACTCCAGAGAGTACTCCAGTTGCTACTTTCTCCGACATCCTTGTCACCCTCTTGACCCTAAACAAAAACTCAGACCAAAAAAGTACTTGAGAGGTGTTTTGCATGCAGTTTGCTCAAGAATTTCACAGCTCAAAGAAAAATCAAGCCACTCCCATGAATGCAATATGAAATTCATTTCAGAATAATGCTCAAATATCTACTTTTTATTAGCTCTTAATTCCAGAGGTGGCTGCGAACGTAATGCACCTAGAGTGTTGGCAATAACCTCTTCAAGCCCATAAGCTCGTGGTTCCTATACCGCCACGTTTCCTGGTGATCGACTCATCAAGTTCCTGTTGAAATTCCAGAGGTGGCTACAAACGTAATGCACCTAGAGTGTTTCTTAAAGCATTGGGGTGCAAGTGTAAGAGATTGTTCATAAAAATGAGGGCTTATAGAGGATAATTCTTGGGTTTAAGCACAATAACAGCTTGGGTTTAAGCTGTAGAACTGCATAAAATAACAAAAACTGGCACTTATTGCATAAAGATGCAACTGTTTTTCTTAATATCCGTGCAGGTTCGGGCCAATCTGCGAGTTTATCGGCTATTCTCGTGCGATAAACTACATTTGATCGTCACGAAACCTAGTAAGATATTAAATCTTAGGCGATAACTATGACTTGAACTCATTACCTCTGCTACGAATAGAGTGATACACAATTGCCAACAATAATATGATACCAATAAGCTCAAACCAAATGCTATCAACACAGAAATGGTGCAAGAAAACAGAAAGAAAAGAACCTTTTAATCCTCTCGAGGGTTTCAGGGCTGATCTCTGTGTTAGAACAGGGGCCCATCCTCTTCTGCATAACCTCATTCCCCTGTTTCAACCTTTCTACAGTCACATCACCGCACCACAAAATCCCTTTAATCAATTGCCCTGATCCCGCTGCAATCAACTTTGCAGCCGTTCGATTGTAATCTTCCACATTAGGAGCCAATGTTGTCCAATACGCCGCACATTTCCCCTCCATTTCTTCTTTCTTCTTCTTCTCCGTCTTCAAATCCGCCGGCGACATCTCTTTGGCCAGAGATTCATCCAGAATCTCCACTTTCTTGGCACTCTCCGATACCTTCTGCATTGTAAAACTACTGTAATTCTGCAAAATCACATCCAGTTTCTTCAACAATCCCTCTTGGCCTTTCGAAACAATCGTCAACCCGTAACTCAAATAATCATCCAACCCATTCTTCTTCCGGTCTTCCTCGTCACTCGAATCGGACTCCGATCCACGTTCCTTAAGAGCCCGAAAAGAGAAGAAGTAATGCGAATCATCGAGCTTCACAGAAGCCAAATCCTTCGCCAATGGCCATTGAATCTCATCGGCAACACGCGCTAGCACCGTAACAATACTCTCCCCTTGGCGAATAAGGACAATGGTCAAATCGCCGCAAGCGAGCTCAACACTGTACTGTTGATCAATCAAGTTGAGAATGGCGCCTGGGACTCTGATGAGAATCTCTTCCGCCGCAAGGGGAGGAGCCGAAGGAGGATGGCGGTAATCCACGTCGTCGGGAAACAGATTCTCCACCAAATCCTTCATATCGAGAGTGGGGTAAAGATTCGAACTCGACGATGGATTAGGATTCACAAAGGAGGATGAAGGCGCATCGGGATTCGAATGATTCACTTGAGGGTAAAGAGAGTTACGATATGGGTACTGTGAATCCATTGCTGCGGTGGGGGAAAACAGAGATTTGGAGCTTCAAAGTATGGGGGGAGAATCGGAGAGGAGAGACAACTGGGTGGAAATTGGTAAGAACAAGAATGGATCAAGAAACGAATTCCAATGCGACCACATTAATGAATTTAAGGGTTCATTTCAACAGTAATCGATAAACTTTCCCGCGTCAAGATCATATGAAAAGACCAATTTGTTGACTAATAATGATCAAAAAAGGCCAAGTCGGACCATTTCATAGCTCGTACCATCATCGACAATCTGTTTTAGCTGTCGAAGCTCCATCGCCATGGTTGGAGAATAATTATGGGAAGACGAACAACAACTTGAATCTAAATCTTTTTAGTTCAATTATATAATCACCAAAGCTTGGACTTTGATTTAATTATTATTTAAAAAAATATTAGTCAATATACAATCTGAGTGAAAATTAATTATTTAAATGATTTTAGCTATATTTTTTTAACAAATTTAAAAATTCAAGAGGAAAAAATGAAATTTATGCGTATAATTGAAATCAACTCTCTTTGTCTCTTCGACTATATTTGTAAAATAATTTTTAAAATATATTTAATTTTTAGGTTAGCATTTCCACCTTTTAAAATAAAAAAAATATTGAGTTTAGTGATAATTTAATCCTATTTCAAAAATGTAATTGGAATATTAATTTATCATTTATATCCATTATTTAGTTGTATTATAAACACCTTTTTGAAATATTTTCAAATTTTGATTAAGTTATTCATAGTTGTAATAACTTTTTAAAACTATTTTCAAATTTCAAATAGCTTTGCAAACTTTAAAAAATAGTTTTTAAAAACTTGTTTATTAATTTAAAATTTAACCAAACTATTAATTTTTTAAAAACATACAAATATCAAACCATTATAAATTACAAATTTAATTTCCAACTTGCACCTTAATAAATCATTAAATTTTTAATTTTAAATCTTAAAATATTTAATAAGTTCTTAACTATGCATCTTTAATTGAAAGTAAAGTAATAGAAACAAAAGTCAATATTTTGCCTAATAAATTATATATATATTTAAAAAAAAAAAAAAAAAAAAAAAGACTACGTCAAGTTGTTAAATAATTTAAAATAAATTTTTAGTAATTAAAAAAAGTCTGAAATTGGTGTTGATTTGGCCATAATGCTTTAAAAGAGACTTTATTCCTAAAACAATTAGGAAAATAGTCTAAACTATCTAATACGTGCTAAATTAACCATTAATTAGTGACAAAATATTGCTAAATTATTACGTTACCTTAATATTTTGAAATATAATAATTTATAAACATGAGATCTAAGAATTGAAACTCATAAAATTTATAAATTATAATCCTACATAAACAAATTAACTAGTAACAGAGATGATAAAAAAATTTAACCTCATTGAAATTAAATTATAGGTTTAGTCCCTAAAACTTGTCAAAATTTCTATTTAGTCCTTAAAATTTAAAAGGACTTAGATCAAGCCTAAACGTTATTAAACGAAGTCGTTATAAGAATGTAATAAGCCTAAGCCTGGCTGCAATGTTCTTCAGTTATAATTTGAAAGAAAATAAACAGAATAAGGGAAAGAAAACAAGAGTTGATTTAAGATAAGAGTATGATATAATAGCAGACTTTTTTAGACATCAGAGTGAAGCATATTCTTGTTTTCAGCCAAATCAAAAGCAAAAACAAGAGCGACTAACTTCTGCAGATGAACACGATGCAACGCTTTTACGAGGGAAATACGAATTACCTAGCGGAATTATTCAACTTCGGAAGATGGATGGATCATTATCATTTGTTGTTGTCGTCTTCCTTGGGCGGGTTTTCTTCATTCTTCTTGTCCTGAAACAACGTTCAAAATTAATTTTACAATCTTTAACCGATGGATCGTTTGGATCTTTAACCAACTAACCTCTGGCTTTGACTGACTTTGCATGGAAGCCAGTAAATCTTTAACTGATGGATCATTTGGATCAACCCCTGGAAGCTGTAGAACATTTTTTCCATTTGAGTCAATTAAACATAAACCTGATATTTGGAGGCACCTTTTTCTAGATTCGTGGGGGAGTATTTACAAGTTGTAGAATTCGTACCGATGCAAGAATGGACGACACGAATGACTGGTCTGCCAGTAATTTACTCATATCAGGTTGGCTTGTTGAGTCTTTAGCATCCTCCTGCACGGACAACTGAAGTGCTGCGTCCAACAAGCAATAGACGAAGATGGAAAAGATAGTTAGAATTCACCTTCAATTCAACTGCAGTATTTATTATTATTTTTTTTTCTCCAAACTGCTGAATGATGTCCATATTGATGGAAGTCAAATTTCATGGAGATATTGTTTTGTTTTATTGCACACTACTTGCAACTGAGATTCCACGTTAGTTGGGGGGGGGGGAGAACGAAGCATTTTATTATAAGGGTGGTGGAAACCTCTCCCTAGCTGCCTAAGAGGGAAAGCCCGAAGAAGACAATATCTACTAGCATTGGGCTTGGGCTGTTACAAATGGTATCAGAGCTAGACTCCGGGCAATGTGCCAGCAAGAAAGCTGAGCCCCAAAGGAAGTGGACACGAGGCAGTGTGCTAGCAAGGACGCTGAGCCCCGAAGGAGGTGGATTGTGAGATCCCACATCGGATGGGGAGGAGGACAAAACATTCTTTATAAGGGTGTGGAAATCTCTCCCTATCAAACGCGTTTTAAAAACCTTGAGGGAAAGCCCAAAGAAGACAATATCTCCTAGCGATGGGGTTGAGCTATTACAGCTTGCAAAGGATTCAGGTCTATCAAAGATTAGCAGGTACGGTGTTCATGCAAACCAATCGAGCAAATTAGTGCAGCGTATTCTCTGAACCTATGAAAGAAACTTTCATAAAGCTTGATTCAACGGCAGTAATTATATTCCTTTGAAATATTCATAAAGTTAAAATCTGAATTACTCGAGAGACAAACAGCCAACCATGAGATGAAGGAAGAAAAGTACCCATCACAAACCAAGAATGGTTAAATTGAAACAAAGAACTTTACCAAGAGCTAACTCTGGATCTATAGCTGCATCTGACATTTCTGTATCCCGCACGTCATGACTTGAGGCAGGATCTTCCATTGACATTGCAAGAGCTTGTTGTAGCAGAGCATTATCATCGTCCTGTAACCAAATCCCAAATCCAGATTGAATATCAAAACATCGCATAAACTTCTACTTCCATTAAAGTTGTGAAGGCAATGAAAAAATGTCGCCAAGAAAGAGGTAGAAGATACGTATTAACATCCCCTCCCCCAAAAGGGTGGGAGAAAGCAAGCTGAGAAATGAAGTGAGCGTCCAAGGAAATATTTGAAGTCATGGATATTCTATGTCTAAGCAGCATTTGAACTTATTTAATTTAAGATAAACCAACCATTGGATCACTTGTCTTTTGAGCATCAGAAGTTTCAGCACTAGCACGTTCGTTCATAGTTGTATCCTGTGAGCCAGATGGTTGTGCCTCTCCTTTTTCCTGCTTTGAAGTCTCCTCAGCAGCTTTCTTAGCAGCTGTCTCCTGTCTGGCCCTTTCCTCTTCCATTGAGACTCGTAATGCAAGTGCCAGTTCAGGGTCTAGATTGGGATCCACACCAAAATCAAAACCAGCCCCACCAGCTGAAGCTGCAGCAGCAGCTGCTGCAAATCCACTTCCTCCCTCCCCATCACCGGTGAAGATTGGAGTACTGACATAGGAGACATTGTGAAAACATATAGAGAATTTTTTTTTTTTACTATGTCAAACAATATGAAACAAACGGATACAATAAGAATCAGTACCATCAACCACATAGAGAAAGAGAGAAACTGACCTAATAAGTACATCGGATAGTGCATTTGGACCGGAGGGAACATGAACAATGTGACTGGAGTCATTACTATTTACAGCCGAAAGAAGGGCTTCCAGCTTCTCTGGCTTACCATCATCTTCTTCACCAAAATCAATAATATCAAGTGCCACATTATTCTTCTTTAATTTCTTTCCTATTGTCTCCAACAACTTTTTGTCATGATTGGCAGGACTAAGATGACATAAGGTAGATGGCTTGAGAACAATTAATACCTGGAATGGCACGATAAAAATGCATAAAATGAATGACAAGAAGTGCCTACCTTCCCGCAAAAACAATAATTCTTTGTTGCTGTTTCTTATTTTGACGATGCTTCAGAGCCAACTGTGCCACCTGAATCCCTGCAGCCAAGTTTGTCTCTCCACCCAACTCTAAACCTATTGTGTAAAAAAGAAGGATGTTAAGTACTATAGAGAAAGCGAAGTGGGAAAACTAGCAAAAAAGATCAGCAGCACTTCACTAGGGCTTATTGTAGAACTCGCTATACACCTAATCCAATGCATCTAGCGAGTAAGGACCCAGGAATTTCTAATGGCTAAAATGCTGTACGTACCATCTTGAAGCTGGACAGTACTCACCCCTAAGAATATTTGGGAATATATGTTTTTCTTGGGGAAAAACATTTAAAGAGAAACATCGATATCAATAGTCATCTAAAATGTCAATATTCAGAACAAATGACAGAAGTACAAGGATAAATGAACGAACAGCACTAACAAAAATAAACTCATCGACTTCAATAGGGATCAAAGTAAGAGTTATCATGCATGACATCTCATACATCTAATGAGTGAGAATAGACCATTAAGTTTTCAGAATTATGCCAAAAAATACTCCCTATAATCTCTAACTTAAGACACCTTCTATAGTTACCACAAAAATTATTCCCAATGTTTTAATTTATAACACCTTGAATAGTCAAAACAAGAACTCTATCAGATTTTGTTGTTTTTTTTACAGAAATTACACAGTCAAATATTTACATAATCAGTCAACTTCTAAATATATACACACATATATTAAATGTTGTTTCTGTTGAGAAACAATCTCGAATAAAATGCACTCTAAAGTGTCCAAAACATCATCAGTCATAAGACATGGAATGCAAAAGGGTTGATTCAAATTTTCACTATTTTCTAATACTTGGATACTAAGATGCTGAAGAAATGACAGCCAAATACAGAAACGATCACATCAAAATATCTTAGTACCTAAATTTTCAACTACTACGTTTAGAAGAAAACCCAAAAAAATCCTCTTTATGAGGTGCAGAAAATGCAATAAACCTCTCGTAACATTTTAAGAAGCCTCAAACTTATATAATAAGAAAGGGGGGTAACTTCAGAGAAAAGGCAAGTAGATGAACTAACCATGCATGCACGCTAGAATCTTGCCAAGATCACTGGTAGGAGTAACCAAAACCCGAACCCCTTTTCCGGCCATCGTAAGAACTCCTACCGTATTCTCCGGATTGGACTGTTAGAAAAAATTGAAACTATGAAACACTTTCATCAAAACTTCAGAATCATATGTTAAGAAAGAAAAATGCGAGACTACCAGATAGTTCCAAGAAACTAATTTACAATTTTCACTTTAATCAAGTAGGCAATATGGCTTTGTTCGTAATCAAAATTATCCTCACCCAATAACCCAAACTGCAACGCAATAGAACAAAGGCAACCCAAAAGGCAATGAAGAAGAAATTATATTACTCGAAACATGACATAAAATCTAAAACCAGGAGACATATTCCTTCTTCTCTTTCCATCACACAGACAAGGAAAACATAATGGAACAAGATAAAGCGATCAATCACCTGGGTTTTAGCTCCGCAAATGAGATTGACGGCATCCGCTTGAGCTTGGAATCTCGAAGGAGCATAATCGCCGTTCCTCATCCATTCCGAATTATCGATGCAGATCATCGTCGCCTACCCAAAAGAAACAAAAAATAGTTTCATATCCATAAGAACCCTAGATCGTTCAACCAAGTGGAGAAAAATGAGATTCCAAAGGAATGAGGAAAATTGAATGAAATTAAGAATCTGGAAAAAGAGATTAGTGATCAGTGACTACCTCGAGCACCATGTTGAGAGACTGAAAACACCGAGAAATCGAAGGAGTAAGAGAGAATCGCAGAGAAGGCAGAAGGCTGAGGTTTCTTGCAGCGTAAGCCGGAAGGTCTGGAACTGAAGAACTGCTTTATCAGGGAAAACTCGATTTAGAGATGTCTTTCGTTAAATAATAATAAATTAAATTATAAATTTAAACTTTTAAGCTATCAAAATTTTAATAATATAAAGTTTGATTTTTTTAAAAAAAAAATACAAAAAATTGTTAATATTTTATTTTTTAAAAATACATTTAAACTTAAAAAAAAAAAAAAAAAAACATTAATATCCTCCCATTTACAAAAATAATAATAAATAAAATAGTATTTTTTAAAAGCTCAACTAGTATTTTTCAAATAAATTATTAATGATTTTTATCTAAAATTAAGTATATTTTTAAAAATTTTAAGAGTAGTTTTGCATTTCCTTTTTTTAAGGGTTTTTTTTTATAAATAAATTGCAAAATTCAATGGTATTTTTATTAATTTTTTTAATTTTAAATACATTATAAATTGAGAAATAATTCAATTTTTTGAGATCAGTGAAATGAAACATGGTTTACAGAGGTGTGGGAAGTAGACATATGTAACTAACTAAAATTAACAATATCTGCTAGCGGTGAACTTGAACGGTTACAAATGGTATATATAGCCAAACATCGGGCGGTGTGCCAACGAGGACGTTGGAAATTGGGCTCCCAGGAGGTGGATTGTGAAACAAACCACTCCTCATAAAAGTGTGGAAATCTTTCTCTAGTAGATGTATTTTAAAACCACGGCGATATGTAACGAGCCAAAGCAGGCAATATCTACTAGCGGTGAGTGAAACAAACCACTCCTCATAAAAGTGTGGAAATCTTTCTCTATTAGATGTATTTTAAAACTATGAGGCTGACGACGATAGTAGACGTATTTTAAAACCATGAGGCTGACGGCGATATGTAACGAGCAAAAGCAGGCTATATCTACTAGCGGTGAGTTTGGGTTGTTACAAATGATATATATATATATATATAGCAAAAAATTGGGTGGTGTGCCAACAAAGACATTGGGCTCAGGAGATGGATTGTGAGATCCCACATCGGTTCATAAGAGTGTGGAAAACTTTCTCAGTAGACATTTTAAAACCATGAGGCTGATGGCGACATGTAACAAGTCAAAGCAAATAATATCTACTAGTGGTCAATTTGGGCGGTTACAAATAGTATCAGAGCTAGACACCGGACGCTCGGACACTAGCTCTCGAAGTGGATTGTGAGATCTTACATCAATTGAAGAGTGAAATGAAACACTCCTTGCAAGGGTGTGGAAATCTTTGTCTAATAGACGCGTTCGAAAATCGTGAGACTAACGGCGATATGTAACCAGTCAAAGTGGACAATATCTATGCAGCATAATTGTATAAACGTTTGTCAGTGACATCTAAAATTCATAATGCATTTTAATTGAATATAATTCAATAAACATAAGCTCAAAAGTAGGCCAAATAAAGTGGAAAGAGACTCAAATAGTTGTGCTATAGATCACTGCCCTCGATGATCCTCATTCTCTTCATCTCTGTTGTTGTTGGATGTAACGTTCGGAGGACTAGAACGAACAGATATTCGTATGTCCGTGTCATCCGACGAAGCATACTGAAGGACCTGAGAGGAACGTGTGGATTGGGCAGCGTTTGACGTGCTTCCTTCCGAGCAGTTTGCGATAAAGTCGTCATTCACCTCACCATCATCGTCGTCATCATCGTCGTCGTCGTCATCGTCGTCCATTGTACAAACAGAGGATGAATGCGATGTTGCACCCACAACTGCAACCAAGGAAGTAGAACCCGACCTTGTCTTCACTCTTTTTTTCCATTGTTGAAGCGAGTTTCGGACGTTCTCCGACACAAGTGATTTCTTGAACCTCGACCCCATCTACGATGACCGCATTAACACTACTCCAAATCGGACCGAGTTTGATGAAAATGGAGCGATACAAGATAAAACTATCATACCTGAGTTACTATAACATAGAGTGGGAATGTAATGAAGCTACTGCAAAACTGAGTGATGACCCTGCAATGAACAACAATGAAGTTGTGTCTGATCTCCAAATGGATTCATCTGTCTTTAGTAAAGAAAATGCATGGCATATACGCCCATTACGACATAAGTTTCGTTCGGGACGAGGATATCACATACCCAAAGGCCAAGCGGATACCAACGTATGTTTGGTTCTCCATGAAACAAGAGGGCTCCCTAATTTCCCACTGAAAGCTAAGATTTCAGTCAGTAAGAAAGAAAAAAGAACAAAATTACAATACCAAATCAAAGAACAAAACACGAGCCTAATGTATTTCAAACAATGTCACTGCTAGATATTGTCCTCTTTGGACTTTCCCCTTCGAAGATTCCCCTCAAGATTTTAAAACTGTCTACTAGGGAGAGATTTCCACACCCTTATAATGAATGTTTCGTTCCCCTTTCCAATCAATGACGGATCTCACAATCTACCCCTTTGGAGGCCCAACATCCTCCCCACTGGCACACCATTCGAAACCTGGCTCTGATACTATTTGTAACCGCTCAAGCCCACTACTAGCAGATATTGTCCTCTTTGGGCTTAGGAATGCTCCATCCTCCTCTCCAACTACTGTGGGATCTCACTATCCACCCCCCTTGGGGGCCAGCATCCCCACTGGCACACCATTCGAAACCCTAGCTCTATACCATTTGTACCCACCCGAGCCCACTGCTAACAAATATTGTCTTCTTTGGATTTTCCCTTCTTGACTCCCTCTCAAGGTTTTAAAACGTGTGTGCTAGGGAGAGGTTTCCACACTCTTATAAAGAATGTTTCGTTCCCTTCTCCAACCAATGTGGGATCTCACCAACATGAAGTTGGGGAAGCGGCTCCAAATGGTTTCAGATAAGGGAAACCGAACAAGCTATAGTTTCTAATTGTAGTGTATTTCGGGCTCGAGTTTGAGAGAATTTATTGAATACTTACCAGGGACCAAATAAATGTAGCCATCTCAAAAGCATTCTGCAAAAAGAAATGATACTAAGAAACATACATATGCAGGATGAAGTACTACTCCAAAAGCAACTGGCTTATCTTTTATGTACTAACCTGGAAGGATATAAATTGTATCAACCACAAAAGAAGCTTAGGCTTCCCAAACCAAAACAGCTCATCCCTTAAGTTAAAACGATAACATCCCCGAGCAGACGTATCCACAACTTCTACAGCCAACTTTACGACTACCCGGTGCAGTTTCGTCCCGATTAGCAGAATCAACTATCAGTTTTGGTTAACAAAGGCAAAATAAAAACATGGATGGTTTAACCATTGGATGGGAACATAGAAACCAGACAGAGATTCACAGAAAGAACTTACAATTGCAGGGAGGAAGGAAACCCAAAAGTAAATATTGCTTCCTGATAAGGATTGTTCAGTCATATATCATATTTCATCATGAACAAGAAGGAATTCATATCAAGTTTTTCACGAAACTGAAGCGTGCAGGTGCAACAAGAAGGAATTTACTTTATGAAATGGATCGAAACATTTTAAAGCTTTTTAGTTAAGGATTTGGGAGATCGAATATTACCATGGAAGTTGAGGAAGATGCAAGCAATGGCATATATCCAGAGTGGAACACTGCACAAGCAAACGAAACAACGGTACTGGTTAGTTCATCAGAAGCAAGAATGCCCACCGTGGCGATAGTCTAACACTAAAGGATCGAAATCTGAAAAATTATAGCATTTGTTTCTTATTTTATGTTTCCAAAAACTACTAAGGCAGTTTTTACTAATAGTCTTTGTTTTGTTTGCTACCATGTAAAAACATTTTCCAAGTCATAGCCAAATGTTGAAGGCAAAAAATAGATTGTAAGAACTGTTTTTTTAGTTTTTCAAAGTCGGGTCGAGATTTTAAGAACGGTTTTGGCAAACGTGATTTAGGAAAGAAGAACTATTGAGCCATTACATAATGAAGTCTAGCATAGAGTTACGATATACAACCTTATACCAACCATATCACGAAATTCATCCTCCATGCTTCGAAGCATATAATTATGGAAGTCATATGATATAGGGAGCTGATGAGTCTACATTCCGAAAGAAAACGAACACGAAAAAAAGTTATAAAAAAAGAAAGAAAGAAGGAAAGAGTAAAGTTAGAATATAGGTAAAGGCATGTTGAGCGGGACAATTAAAGAATAGAGTTTCCTTTTGCAAAGCAATGAAAAAAACTATTGAATTAAGCAAACAGGCACGTACAAAGGGAATTCAAGAGCAAATTAACGGGCATGTTGATCTAACGCTCATATATATATTTGTTCCTTTGTGTTACTTTCATCCTCTTATACTCGCATGCAATGGCGTTTATTTCTTTTTTTCTTTCTCCCTATGATTATTCAATCTTCCTTGTAAAGACCAACACCGATTGTAATACAAGTCCACTGTTAGCAGATATTGTCCACTTTGGCCCGTTACGTATCATCGTCAACCTCGCAGTTTTAAAACGCATCTACTGGGGAGAGGTTTCCACACGCTTATAAGAAATGCTTTGTTCCCCTCTCCAACCGATGTGGAATCTCACAATCCACCCCTCTTGAGAACCTAGTGTCCTCGCTGGCACATCCCCTAGTGTCTAGCTCTGATACAATTTGTAACAGCTCAAGTCCACCGCTAGTAGATATTGTCCGCTTTGGCCCGTTACGTATCGTCGTTGGCCTCACAATTTTAGAACGCATCTACTAGGGAGAGATTTCCACACCCTTATAAGAAATGTTTTGTTCCCCTCTCCAACCAACGTGGGATCTCACACCGATTCTTAAAGTAGAAACCCGAAAGGGAAAAAGTACTTCAAATATCTACAGCTCTCCATGGGATTTATCTTATGCTTCCTAGCATCAACTTACTTATTATTGGAATTGTTTTTGGAATGAAAACATAAGAACACCAAAGCTACTTAGTATCAGAATGAACATACACTGATGAAGCCCAACCGCAAAGCCATGTAATCAGCTCGATTGATAGAGCTCCAAAACTGGCGGCTGAAACAGAGCTGCAAGTTGGTATAATAATGTTTTGAGTTCTCCAGAACATAAAAAAGTGATCAAATGGTTGCTTGTGAAGCTTTATAAGCCTCTTGAGAATAATCAAACGGTTAAAAAAAGCCATGAAATTTGAATTCTTTCTTCATCAAGAGCTCAAAGGAAACAAAGAAACTACCAGCCAAACGAGAACTCTATTCCGACTCCATGGGTGAGAAGTATGGTGAAAGACAAAAGTTGACAGTCGCCCTATTTTTGGCCTGGTCGACGAAGCTTGTACAGATTCTTCTGCGTTCGAGTAATGAAATTGAAGGCCAAAAAACGCTCAATGAGAATCTTTAAAAGCGTCTATAATGACTCAAACGAGTTCCAAAGCTTAGAAACTAGAAGAACAATTTGGTGCAATTTTATTTACCTTGTGCATTCCCAATGGCCAAAGCCTTAGCTTCGTTTTCCCACGCTCTCCAGCCATATATCTGAACAAAAAGAGGCAAGCTTCAAGATGTCATGGAGATCAAGGCAGAAGAATTTGAAAGCAGACTGATATGAGATACACCAACCTTAATCATAGCCAGGGCAATGGCAATGAAGCTATACGAAACATGAGTGATACCAAGAACAAATATTAATCGATGAAGCTGCTCTAAACTTTCATATGAAGCGAACGATTCACGCCCCTGGAAAGAAAAATAACAACATATTGAATGATATGATGAATTATTCGATTCATTCCGACTCGAATCTTGTGCTCTAACATCATATTAAATCACCGTTAGACACAACAAGCAAAACTCCAAATAGTTATTGTGAGATCCTACATCCGTTGGGGAGGAGAACGAAGCATCCTTTATAAGGGTGTGGAAACCTCTTCCTAGTAGATGCGTTTTAAAAACTTTGAGGAGAAGCCCGAAAGGGAAAGCCCAAAGAGAACAATATCTGCTATCGGTAGGCTTGGGCCTTTACAAATGATATCAGAGCCAGACACCGGGTGATGTGCCAACGAGGAGGTTGAGCCCCGACGGGAGTGGACAGGAGCGGTGTGCCAACAAGGATGTTGGGCCCCGAAGGGGGGTGAATCGAGAGGTCCCACATTGATTGGAGAAGGGAACGAGTATCAGCGAGGACGCTGGGCTCCGAAGAGAAGTGGATTGTGAGATCCCACATCGGTTGGGAAGGAGAACGAAGCATCCTTTACGAGGATGTGGAAACCTCTCACTAAAAGACACATTTAAAAAACCTTAAGGGGAAGCTTGAAAGAGAAAGCTCAAAAAGAACAATATCCGCTAGCGGTGGGCTTGGTCCGTTACAATTATCCTAGCGTGAATTTAAGTGATAATACTTCAAAGTTAAGGAACTTCTTCAGCAAAGCATAAGAAGTACCTCAGGGCAATACTCTCGTATCCCAGCATTAGAACTGTTCATATTTTCACTTGCAATAGAAACATGTCTAACTCGTTTCAGATCAATATCCAACGCACATGGATAGAAACGGCTGCTCAACACAGATGACTTAACACAAATTCTTGCCACAAAAACAATCCAATGACCCATCAACAACGACAGAAGTCCAAAGAGCATCAATTCTGCTCACAAACAAAACCCACAAATCTAAACAAAATCAAGAAACAAATCATCCCAAAAGAACAAACAAAATCAAACACTCATCAGATTCCTCACCTTCTTTAATCTTCTCCAACGCAGCAAGCAACGATTTCCTCTTCGTCCTATCCAACCACTGGAACAACAAAAGCGTCTCACAATCAAAATGAATCAAAAACGAGATTCCATCAAAAACCCAAACAGAATCGGACCCGATCATACCTTTTTAATCCGTCTCAACGTGCCTTGGAAGAAGAATCCAAGCGAAACCATGATAGTTACCACTGTTGCAAACGACCATGTCGGAGTCACGGCCAAGGATCTTCCCTCCTCTCCCATTTCCGCAGCGCAGCCCGATCGATCAGTTCATCATCTGAAAATAACCATTTCAACAGAATGAATCGCATTAATAGCAGCAACGAAATGGTGGGCTATAATATAGCGTAAACAGAGACCATTATGGGTCAAGAATTTAAGAAGCCGAACATTAGTTGTTCCAAAGCCAAGGAACAAAGTGGGTTCCACTCCATGGCTTCAAAACTGTAGCTCAGAAATGCGTTGTCGCTGTCGTTTTCCGATCCTGCATGGAAGAAAGTGAAAGAAATCATATCAGAAAGAAAACAAAAGAACCAAAAGAATCCAGCTCCGTTTGTCAGTGACTGGTAATTTCAAAAGGGCGACGTTCTTGGAAAGGAAGAAATAAGTGTTTCACATAGTTTGAAGGATGAATTATTGAATACACTAGTATTAAATTTCCCTTTACCAAACTTCTTACTAACATTTAATTCTTCATCTTTTAACTATAAATCCAACCCCACAAGCCTCTATTATATATGGTAGCTTTCATTCTACTCATTTACGTTCGGGGCTTTACCGGGACTAACTAGTAAAAGGCCCAAAATCGGAAACGATCTTAAAAAATCTCAATATCGTATTCGTTTAGAAGAAAAACAAAAATTGTGTTTTCATTATGGTCTTACAGAACGACAATTACTTAACTACGTTCGTATCGCCAGAAAAGCCAAAGGATCAACGGGTCAAGTTTTACTACAATTACTTGATATGCGTTTGGATAACATCCTTTTGAGTTTTTGGTATGTTTTCTGGCCGAGAAGTAAAAGTTTATGAATCCCAGCTGGGAAAATTATGAGAATCGAAAAATGTACAATTTCGTTTTGTAATAGCTCGAGTCCACCACCAGTAGATATTGTCTACTTTGGCCCGTTACGTACTGTCGTCAATTTCACGATTTTAAAATGCATCTGCTACGGACTGCTAGAGAGAGGTTTTCACACCAAGAATGTTTTATTCCTCTCTCAAACCTGAATGAGTCCAACCTAATAATGTTTACTCTAATCAAGGTCAAAAAAATTTATGATATCAAACACCCCATATTCTCAAGCCTAAAAATTTTCACTTATGCAGCAACAACTATCTAAAACCACGTTCTTCCCATATAATATAGGTCGAGAAATTCCAATGACATCCACTTTTTTCCCGACCAATATATTTCCTTCATATCCTTCACATAGAATTGAGAGAATCAAATATATAAGATTAATTATAAAAATTGCTCTTTAGACTTTGAAAATTTTCAACTTTTACCGACGGGTCAACTTTAAAATTTGTTTCGAAAATACCCTTGGAGATTCTAGCTCAAAGGGACATCGTCGAGATTCCAACCCTAAAACTCAATTAAATTAATTACTGTCTATCAACGCCCTAAATTGGAAGAAATTACTGGTAAATGACGAGTTTTTTTTCATTCGTTTTAATCTTAGTTCTGTAAAAACAAGTTAGAAAGATCGAGAAATAGAATTATTTGATTTAACTTGCATTTTTCTTTTAAATGGTTCCGAGAAAAACTCTAGAAATCTCATCTTTATGGCCACAACCCAATTTTGATACCAAAAAATTGGAATTTTTCCAAAATTAAAACGAAAAAACCCTCAAAATCTAATGCTATACAACAAAATTAAAATTAAAATATGTGCATGAATCTATAGAAAATTCCGTAGAATGGGCTCAATGATGGGCCATGCGGCCCATTTGTGAAGATGGGCCAAATGGCCGATGGTGAAGGCTTAAAGGAGACGCAAAAATCGCCGACTTAGAGCTGCCGTCACGGTGAATATAACGGCCACTGACGTTAACGGCCTGCCGGAATACTCGGCTGTTGAGACATCCACTGCCCGGGGGTACTGCCCGTTTGATGCTTTCACACTGCATATTCATAGTCACCACACCCACAAAATTTCAATCAAAATTTAAAACTATTTTACAAATCCTTAAATCTTAAAAAAAATCTAATTTTTTATTCTCGTTTTCATATATTAAGATTAACAAATAATAGATTTAATAAAACTACGGGTTTTACGTAGATCAAAACTGTGGGTCATCTAATCTTTTGGACATCCAACTTCCTTATTTTCACGAGCTCCTAAAATAATAGGGAACGGATTGCCTAAAAAACCAGCTTAAGAAATGATGGGTCAATTGTGGGAGGTAGAAATCCGTATTAGGTTGGAATGTCGGTCACCCAAATTCTCAAGTTTGAATAGGGTTGGTGATGATCATTATCACCGCACCTCACATGTTGGAATAGTGGAACGTATAACTCAATATTGCTATGGTAGGCAGCAGTCTAATTGTTCTCGCTAAGCATATCGACAAATATAAAACTCACTATTCCTAATTAAGTCTTTGTATCGACTTTCTGTTTAGGTAAACAACGAGTTCAAATATACGACTTTCTAAACTATATATAGCGTGAAATTTAAAAATATTAGTAATTAGCGTTGAGTTATGGTCGTGTGGAGTATAACGAAAGTTACCTAGTTGAAAGAGGACAGAAAGTGACGAGGTAATTGGCGGCGGCGCAAGTGAAGGTGCTAGTTCCATCATCATAGGCATAACTATAAGCTTGCGGACACGCCGACTTGAAGAACTCTGAGTAAGACGTGGGTCGACAAGTGCTTGGGCTCCCATATTCGCCATTGCAGCAATATTGCGGCTCACCAAATGCACCACATGCGCTCTTGCACGCCACACTCTGCCCATCCACTGCCACTCTTAGCTCCATTGGACACTCGGTGTTTAAGTTTGCTGCACACCCGATCGTCATGCAATTGCCTCCGCCTAGTTTCAACTAAACTTATAATTTAATCTTTTAAACACAAACAAAAATGAATGTTGTGCTTTCGATATTTGTATTACCTGAGCTAGCTTGTGGGGTGATTAACATGGGCACATTATAGCCATCGACAAGGCTAACATCATAGAAATCAAGTCCACCAGCACCATTGAGAGTGAACTCAGCAAGAGTAGCAGGCGGGGCAGCGCCACTACCGTTGCATTCAACGGTGCCCGAGCCGCAGTCGGCAGTGGCACAGGAGAATCTACCAGCATTGTCTTGGGAGCAATAAGTGCGACCCCAAATCCGGCCAGACCACGACGGGGGCATGGTGAGGGCGTTGGACTGTCCTGGCTGCAGGACAAAACCGGTGGTCGAAAGTTGTGAGGTGCCAGCGCCCGACAAAACTCCGGGCCAAATTGGGTAATCACATTGGTTTAAAATGGTGAAAGTAGCTGAATGTACACAAGAGATGAAGAAGAGGAAGAAGAAGGGAAGAAGAGGAGGAGAAATGGAAGCCATGGGAGGAGAGGTAATGTGTTAGAGGAGGAAGAAGAAAGGATTTATAGGAGAGGGGAAGGGGAAGCAATGGGCATGTGGGGGAAGGCAGAGGCACATGATGAAAGAGCCATAATGTTGCTTTGGACGGTGATTAAATTGTATTGAACATAGAGCCATTCAAATCTATTAATACAATTTAAAAAGGAGTCTCATATGTTTTTTGTCTTTAGATCTAAGGTTCTTTTAATGACTTTTAATAATTTTTAAAAATTTAAAAACGTCTAATAATTTATGAACTGACCTGACCCATTGATAACAAAAAGAATCTATGGGAGAAGGTAGAATGCACAAAAACGAAGTCACATGATTGTAGAGATCCATGAGAGGATGGTTGGGTGGCTCCAAGTTTTTAGGTTTATGGGATTTGGGAATTAGGGAACTAAACCTGAACACGTTTCTAAATTTCTCTTCGGAATTTGGATGGGTTGTTATGCATTGGATTCCTAGTTACTATTGTTGTACTCACCTTTTATATACTAAAAATACAATCGATCTTTTTGAATACCGTTCAATCACATAATAAAAACCCAAAGGAAACAAGGAAAGAAAAGAAGATAGCATATCCTCATCCCTCCCACTGAAGTTTAAAACTTCATATGGGTTCTATTAACTTCATTAAAGCCCCCAAGTACGGAACCCCGTGACTCAACTAAACTCAACTTAAATGAGATATGACAGCTTTTTTATGGTCTAAAGAGTCTTGTCAATACATTATCCTCATTCTGTTCTGGAGTGAGATCTCTAATAAAATGAGCAAAGCCATGATGAATCGCTGGGACTCATGTCATAATGAATCACTGGGAATATAACACAGCTAGTAAAGTCATGGGATATGGACCCAAAAGCAGGTAAAGAGTTGCTAACTCTCAGTTTGGTCCTACTTTTAGTTCATTTTGTTACTAAAACAGAAGAAACACAGTACCAGATGTTAAAGCAATCATTAGTAGAGTTTATCTATGATTTCGATGCTGAAACTAATAGAGTTAACTATAAGAATCGAACCAAAATACCCGTCAGAGCAAAGGTAGGAGCAGTAAGTTCACCCCAACAAAGCTATCCATTGTTTACCTCGAGAAAAAGATGTGCGACTACCCCTCAGAGAAAAGCTAGGAGAAGTAAAAGCTATACTCCTTGAACATTCAGTAACAGTAACACATTTGAAAGTTTAAAGACTATCCTACCCCGACACACACATTGAATAAACAATGTGTCATTTAGCCTGCTCCTGAAGATGAAGACAAATAAGGAGTCTAGATTATGATATTCCTAAGCTAAATGCTGAGGGTATGATCCGCAACTTTAACTAAACAAACAATTATCAAAAGAGAATGAAACTCATACTGCTTGGTAAAAAAGCATATTCAGAGCACCAGAAATAACTTTGTTCCTAGACGTTTCAATTTCAGAGCAAAGGTTGAATGAACAAATGAAAGAGAAGAACAAAAGTTGGCACCTAATCCAACCATTAAGATATCGATTCAAATTAAAAATCTCCCAAATTCTCAAGGCAGTAATTCATTGGCAATGAGGAAAAGAAGCAGAGAGTTAATGGAAATAAGACAATAGCAACGAGAGGAGCTTCATCAGCCTCTCACAGATAGGCAGAAAGAAACGAAGTTTCAAATATCATAATGACAACTTTTTGAACTGTACTTTAATGGTCAAAAAATGCATAACATATAAAAATTAAACAGAAGAATGCAAGACTAAAAGAGCAACTTAGCTAAAATGTGAAAGCATAATACGATATTCCATTCTAAAGGGGTTTGTTCAGGCAATAGCATCGCTAAGGATTGATTTGGAGGAGGACACTACTAGAGTTTTCAACTCCTTCCTGACCCTCCTGAGTACTCATTTTCTTTATTCAAAAACCCACAAAAGAAAACCCCTTGAGAATGAAAACTAATAACAGATCAAATGCATAATGCAATCCCCATAACCATTTCCAAAATGGCCACTATCTACCATGGAAAAAAAACCTTATATATCACACAAATGCAAGGGCAAGGCAAGGGCAAGGGCAAGGAGGGAGAAAATAAAGTCTTTACCAGTTCCATTTCATGGGTAGTGGTAAAGAAAAGTTTTGAAGACTAGACCAAAAGTACTGCAATTTACTTGTCGTGTTCTTGTCACATACTACATATTGATGGAAATTTAATACACTTGCATTAATCTAGCAATTCAAACAAATAAAAGAAGTTACTTCCTAATATTTCTTTACCTAAATACATTCTCCAAGACATGCTTATAAATTGATAATTATACATAATATCACTTATAAATAAGAGTTCAGACGGCCGTTCCACACCAACTTCCCCCACGTAACCAACACCAACTCCTAAGGAAGAAGAGGAAAAAAGTGGCTGGGATGAATCAATAGAAGGCATCCCCCCTCACATACACACCACCTTTACAAGAAAAAGGAAGTAACTTAACACTGACAAGCATTCATTTATTTGCATCATCTAGCATAAAAGCATCAAGAAGGCATTAGCCTTCTTTTAATTCAATTGTTTAAAACCCTCAATGTACTACCATGTTCTTCTGTTAAATCTTTTGGACAAGTCCAGAAATTGTGCTACGAGTCAAATCTATGAAACTTGAAAGTATAGATGACAAACAGGATTAGAACCACTACCCTAAACCAACTTCTAAAACACTTCCATAACAGATCTTATTACAGAACATACGGTCAGCGAAACAGAGCAGAGTACACCCAAACATGCTAGCAACATTTCGAGTATCAGAGTAATTGATATCTAAAACAAATCCATTATTGATGATGAAGAAGTAAACAAAATGAAGGCCTAGTATGGCATTGCTAAAACAAAGAACATGCCAACGACGTATATTATCAATCGAACTTAGTCACAATTCATGTCAATGGGCTATTAGATGTTGACATGGATAATTACAATTGAAGCAGACATCGCACAACATGAAACTGAGATATAAAAAGTAATGAAACAAGAAGTAATGAAACAAGAAAAGAAGATCAAAATGCCTCATTCAACCAAATTACCACATCAAGTGTGAACAATAAAATTTGCCCCTGAAGAGCGAAACCACCATGGAATATTAAAAAGAAAAAACCTCTAAAGTAAGCTACGTATAGCCAACATCCACACCAAAAGATGAACATAGTTCGAGGGCAATATTGAGGTTAAAGGAAAAATTATATACTATTACTCTGTCTCACTCCTTACATCAGGACACTCCCTAGCAAAATGCCCAGATTTCCCACAATTGAAGCAAGTGTTTGCACCACCGCCACCAAATCTTCCGCCGCCGCCGCCGCTGCCACGGCTTTCATTCTGGCAATCTCTGGCTAAATGCCCATATTCTCCACAATTAAAACAACTACCACCCCCACCTCCACTTCCACCTCCAGCCCCACCCCTATTGCAATCCCTAGCCAAATGCCCAAAACCACCACAATTATAGCAAGCCCCACCACCGGCACCGCCGCCGCTGTTTCCTCGTGGACAATCCCTCGCTAAGTGGCCGACTTCACCGCAAGTAAAACAGCCACCACCACCACCACCACCACCGCCGCGGTTACTAGCACGAGTACAATCTCTAGCCAAATGCCCTTGCTCACCACATTGATAACACCCACCCCCACCGGCTCCACTGCTCCCATTACGCCTATCGCCACCCCTCCATCCACCAAACCCATAACCTCCACCGCCACCGCCGCGGCCACCCCTTCCACCACCACCCCCAAAGTTATCCCTCCGATTTCCCGAAGATCCATCGAGAGCAACGACCTCAATAGCTTTCGATTTCCCATCATCACCAGGGGCGATCTGAAACTCAACATGATCTCCGACGACAAGGCTCCGGTAGCCATCGGATTTAATGGAGGATTGATGAACAAACAGATCCGGGCCTTCCACATCTGGCTTGATAAAGCCAAACCCCTTGGAATCGTTAAACCACTGAACCACTCCAGTCAATCTCTCTTCCGCCATCTTCAAAGTTCGGAAGAAATTTCTCTGCACAAATGGTAACGAATCAAAAGAGAAAAAGGGTTTCGTAATATATAGAAGGCGAAAGAAAATGAGATCTACGGTATTTCTAGCGTTTCCAAAACCCTAATTCCCCCATTTTGGTGCTTTTAATTAATTTATCTTTTTTTTTTCAATTAATTAATTTCCATATTTAAAAATATTTAGACTCTTGAATATGGAGGAAAATATTAAATAATTATTCATCATATAATCATTTATAACTAATTTATTTTTTTTAACATTATGTCTAATTTTTTTAATTATAAATAAAATAATAGAAATTTAGATTCTCTATTACGAAATTATTACCTAAATTAAAATAAATTTAATTCCTAATATTTCTAACGATTTTAGCATTATAATATTTATCTTAATTAATTAAATTATAATATAAATTTGTATAATTACTCAAAAAAAAAAAAATCTATTAAATCAGTAGGTAATAAAAAAAATATTATATTTAGAAATGTATGGATGATTTGTAACACCCGACTCAATCATTTGTAACGAACCATGCTCGGATTTCGAAATTCATAATCCAGTCTGATAAATCTTAAAAACCCGATCAATTGAGGACCTGCACGAATGGAAAATTAGACGGTTGTTTTAACTAATAGGTTGACTTTCGATAGACTCGAGGCTTTTGACCACCAAATTGAGGACCTGCACGAATGTCCCGTAAAAATACAGTAATTTCATCTACGTGAATAAAACATAACATGAATCTAAACCTGACAGCATACTAAAAGAACACGACCAAAGAAACATCCTATAAATAAAAATACCGGTTCGATTTTTTTTTTCAAGAACCGAACCGGTCCGGGATTGAGGGTTAAAAAGCGGCCTTCTCTCTCTGCCAGCTTCTTTTCTTATAGCATTTATTAAATATAAATAAGTTTTTATTAAAAATAAACTATAAATCTTATCCTCCCGCCTTCTTTCTCCTTTTCCCTCCCACTCGACCCACGGCGGCACACCTTCACCGTCGCAGTCGCCCCCGGCACGACTCCGTCTTCAACTGCTCGTCGACCGAGGTTTACACTCCGTCTTCCGCAGCCTCTCCCTCTCTCAGTTACTGAATGAATCAATTTTTCTTTTGTTCATTTTCGGTCTAAATTGTGCGTATTGATGTAAATTTAGGCCTTGCATTTCTCCGTTTGTGAACATTTTTTGCTCGTATATATAATCTTAGTAACTAACTTACGTTTTCCTATTTTCCTAAACGTTAGATTCATGTGTATTATCCTTTTTCGAATAGGTTGCTGGCATTGAACAAGCTTGTGTTCGACTTAATTCACCAATAAAATCATTATGTATAAATTAGTTACCTATTCGACTTATCACGCAGCTTTACCTTAATTTTCCTGTGGTCATGTTGTTCATCTATTGAAGAATTGTTGAAGTTTGATTTCTCTTTGTCGTGAAAATTCATTCCCGGGTGCATATAGTTGTTTTGTACAGTCTCATGTAATTTTAAAATTTGACTTTCTTTGAATTTTGCATTGAGTTTCATGGACAATGTCCACTCATATTCTTGCATTTGTTGTTCCTTGAGAATTGTGAGGGTCCTTTTCTTGGGGTGATTTGAGACGCTCAATCTATGATACTATATCTCTGGCTGTTCTGTTTGTTAAAAAATGTTATCCCTTCAACTGTTGTATGTATACATATGTATACCCATACAAATTGATAGTCGAATTTGTTTCCTCTTCTTGAAGTCTATTTCTGGGTTATGACTAATGCAAATATTTGTTTCCACATGAAATTATATGACAGGCGCACACAGCTTCATGGCATCCCAGGTTATCCGGGAGTGGATTGGGATTAACAACTTTGCAATGGCCACACAAGTCAAATTACTTGAGTTGCTGGGAAGACTGAAGCTGGAGGTCATATATTCATTTTTACCCATATGTCTTGGTCACGAATCCGTATCTACGTGATTTATTTTTCCATTTAAGCCTTTGCACTGCATTTTTCACAATCTCTAATGATTCATTAACTTTTGATATCTTTCTACAGAATGTCAGCACCTTGACCATACTTGTAATGGGAAAGGGTGGCGTTGGAAAGTCATCCACTGTGAATTCCATTATTGGTGAAAGAGTTGTTTCTGTTAGTCCTTTTCAGGTACTTTAGTTATTCACTTCACTTTAATTTTGGTTGATTGAAGTGCACAGAAGGTTCATGATTTGATTTAAGAAATGAAATGTTTATAGTCAGAAGTGACAAGGCCTGTGATGGTTTCTCGCTCAAGGGCTGGATTTACATTAAACATCATTGACACACCTGGTATCATAGAAGGAGGTTATATCAATGATCAGACACTTGAGATCATAAAACGGTAATTTCTAATATTATTTTTTACTTCAGATTGATTTTTTTCGAGAATCTGGGTCTTGTCTTTGTATTTCCTTATCTTTCTTTTTTGAGCAGCTTTCTTTTGAATAAGACCATAGATATTCTTCTCTATGTGGACCGCTTGGATGTATATCGAGTAGATAACTTGGAAAAGCAGGTTATTAAGGCCATAACAAACAGCTTTGGTAAAGCAATATGGAACAGGGCTTTGGTCGTCCTCACTCATGCTCAATTTTCCCCACCTGATGGAGTACCATATGAAGAATTTTTCTCCAGACGATCAGAAGCTCTACTGAAAACCGTCCGATTTGGCGCCTCTTTCAACAAAAAAGATATTCAGGTGGCTTTTGCTATTTTTGTTCGCCTTTGTGAGCAAATCTTGAGTTCCATTTTGTTTTCTGTACATTCTTTTATTGTATGCCTATATGTCTATGTGAACATATTTTTAGTCGATAATACTCATGTCATCACATTTGATCTTTCCTGCCCCTGTTTTCTTTCATTTTTCTCCATAAAAATTTGGTTTATCATTTAAAAAACTGAGATTTCAAGGAAAATCCTTGAATATCTTCAGTAAATTTTTTTTGTTACTGAAAGATTTCAACTGAAGATATTCAAGGATTTCCTGCCCATGTCTTTGATCTTTCTTTCAGTAAAATCTATCAGAATTCCGGCATGAGATGAAATCCATGTCTTCCTTTTGTTCCACAGAAGATTAGATTACTTAATTTATTTGTCGCTCATTGAATGATAAAAGTATTATCTAAATTCTATACCTTCTAGGCGTTGGATATTCCAGTTGTTTTGGTTGAGAACAGTGGACGGTGCAATAAGAACGAGAAAGATGAAAAGGTTCTACTTCTCTCTCTCTCTGTCTTAAAAATGTTCATTAGAATCTTTTCAACTTATTGGTTGGACTAATCCTTTTCTCAACAGGTTCTTCCAAATGGGATTGCTTGGATTCCTCACTTGGTTGAGACAATCACCGCAGTTGTGTTGAAAGAAGGAACCAAGTCTATTTTTGTTGATAAAAATTTGATCGCAGGCCCAAACCCCAATCAAAGGGGAAAGTTGCTGATTCCTTTTATTGTTGTACTCCAAGTATGCATCTGAAACTTAAAACGATTCTTTAATTTTCCTCTTCTCTTACGATTTAGGGACTGACCCCATATCTTTTTGCTTCTTATGTTGGCTTGTTATTCACAGTATCTCTTCGCTGTTAGACCTATTGAGCGAGCAATAAGAAGTGATATATTAAATGAAAGTAGACCATCGTGGGAGACGCATGAGTACTAGCTTATCCAGCCGCAGGTATTGATTTGGCCTCATAAATATCCCGAGCGATCAATATGGTTGTTTGGTGAGTTAATCTGAGTCTTTTTGTCAATGTTGAGATTGGACTGTCTTGTTTTTTTTTAAAGTTTGAATTTTGAGACAACTGAGTTTCTGTAAGCAAATTCATATACGCTACAAGGTTTAGCTACTCGTATTTAGTTAAACAAGAAATTCTTCAATTTTTTCTAGAAGCGGATGATTACTCATCTGCTTCTCACGTTTCGTGAATAGTTAGGACATGATTCTTTTTGTTCCCCAATCCCATCACTCTTCCCAATTGACTATCAAACTTTCAAACTTTGCATGCAAATGTTATAATGTTCATGATCGAGATAATTAATATATATCATGTTTGATCTTATAATATTATACAATTAGTATCATATTTTGGAACCTTATCATCTCTAGCTATTAGTTTTTGGGTATGACCATTTTGTTTTTGTTTTTTTTTTTTTCTATTTTGATTGGGTCCAGATTCCAAAAAGTGTATTTAGGCATATCAATTTAAAATTCAGTTTACTATAGCTTTGTTCTTATTTATTGCAATATATTAGCTTCACAACACAAACCAATGACCTACAAAAGAGATGAGAGAGTATTTTTTGTAAATGGGCTTGGGCTTCCACCAAAATGGGCCTTCTTATCCAACAAGCTTTTGGGCTTGTTGTTGTTGTTGTTGGGCCTGCTTCTTAAGCTTTGCAAGCTCAATGTCCCTGTTCATCTTGGTCTGGTACATCTCACTGAAGGTGATGGGCTTCTCAAGAATAGGCTTCTCCCCTTCTCTGATCTTCAGTGGATACACAATAGCCTCCGGCGCAGGGTTTTGAAATGTCGCTATTGATAGCCTGCTTGAGTTTGAGTTCACTACTGCTCTGTGCTCTGCATTCTTGAACCTCCCATTGCTTAGATACTGTTGCAACCATCAATAATACGTGGTCAAAGCAAGATCAGGAGATTCATTACTCGTAATGAAGAAGGTAATAGCTGGCTAGAGCACCCAAATCCGTTATTACAAGTCTATTTTTCCGATTTAATAATATATGGTCATTTGAACATAGTTTTACCGGTTAAGATAAGATTGTATTCCCAATCAAGTTACTCAAATAAAAATAAAAATAAAAATAAAACTTTGTAATCAGTATTTTTAAGCTTTTTAATGTTATATCTAGCGGGAAATCTTTTAATCCTCTCTTGCCCTTGTGGGAGTGAAAATTTGAATCCACATCCTATACAATAAAGAGATACCTTATTTGTTAACCTAAATTTTTATTATAATTTTACTTTTATTAAAATGATTTATTAATTAATAAAAGCCTCACATTTCACATACATTTTAAGTTTCTCAATTCTCCACTCTTGGAGTTGTTACGATAAATTAAATATATATATATAAAGTTAAATTACTACTTTTAGTGTTATTTAATAGGTTATCTAATAAATTTCTAAAAGTTCGATTTTATGTCTAAGGTATATTCAATATTATTAGTAGTTATAAAGCTTACGAACATATTAGACATGAAATTAATAGTTTATAATCCCTATTCAACATATGATTGGTGGATCTTCATTATCAGACACAAAATTCAAAATTGATGTTACGTTATTAGACACAAAATTAGACACATCTTTATTCAAGGATGGTGTGGGTACTACTCTCATTAATTGGGTGTTACATTAACATTTTAAGAATGATGTGAAATCCAACCATATTAAATAATATTTATAAATAACCTGAAATTCTATTTTCTATCATTCTTTAAATTTTTTTAGTTTTATTAATATCTTTAAAACTTTTTTTTTTCTTTTATAAAACTTTTAAAAATATTTAGTAGTACTAATAACAGAAGAACAATTAGTATAATATTTCAAATATACTTATAAATTTTTAAAATGAGCATTAACATACTTTATTTTTTTTTTAAAAAATTAAAATTGGTTTATAATTAGAATAAGGTTAAAATATGAACATAAATGATTTATCTACCCTTCAAATAGTTAGTTAATTAAAAGAACCAATTTAAAAATAAATTGTATGTATTTTTGAAACTAAAATATTTTAAAAATTTGAAGGATGAAGGTGCAAAGTTGATTAGCAACTTTTAATCATGGGCGAGCACTTTAAAAGGCAGGAATAAAAAACAGTAGACTTACATGGCTATGGTCTCCCAAGTTGACGATGAAAGCGCCTTGGACGGGCTGGACAGTGATCCACGTCCGGCCACCGTCCTTGGTGGCCTGAAGCCCACCGACCTGGTCCTGCAGCAGCAGCGTTATGGTTCCAGGGTCAGTGTGGCGCTTCAGCCCCAAAGTGAGGTCCGGCTGAGGGCATTTGGGATAGAAATTCACCACAATCTTCTGGTCCATGTCCACACAGGCCTTTACTATGGCCTCCTTCTCCAGCCCCATGGCTTCTGATAAAACCACCAACATCTTACGCCCCAATCCCATCATCTTCTCGCTGTACTCCGCCGTCTTCGCCGCCCACCCCTCTGGCTTGTCTGGCCACAGCGAATAGTCTCTGTTTCTAATCGGGTACGAAAAGTAGGTCACTATCTCACGCCAATCTTTAACAACTTCTCCCTGTCAATTTACCATTTACAGTAACCTATTAGCTCCATAGCAACCATTTTAGAAGTAAGCTAAGATGATTTTGAAAGTTTATGAGTACGATCAACACCCAGCTATTAAATACTACACGTCCTTCATTTTCGATTAATGTCAATGATCCATCTCATCTGATTTAGAGTTTTGAAATTGATTTACGTATAATTTAGCCCTAATTTTTATCTAAATAAGCCGATTTCCTCGATATTCATGAGATCGAGACATGAATCCATGAAACATATTACCAACTTGAATTTCATATAAAATTTATGAACTGTATATTTTTATTAATTTCCATAGTTCTTTTATTTTTTGAATTTTATAATGATTCAAAAAAATTTCATGCATCCAAATGTTGTGATATTCAACTTCAACAAATTAAAACCACAGATCTGAAAATCACAAGCATAATGATGGAGAATCGGAGGAGGTTTATTCAATATCATTACCTTGAGATGGCTGGAGACGATGAATCCGCCCTTCTTACCGCCAGACATATCGTAACGGAGTTTCTCCTCGGACGGAAGTGCAAAGAACTCTCGAGCGAGACGAGCCATATCGGAAACAATTTCCGAATCGACGCCATGGTCGACGATCTGGAAGATCCCCCAGTCCTCGCAAGCGTCAATGATCTTCCGGCAGATCTCGGCCCTGCCGCCGCCTTCAACGTCGTCGATTCCGGCGATGGAGATGATCGGGACTTCATTGCTGAAATGGTTGTAAGGAACTTTGGAACGCTCATCCTCGTCGCGGATGAAATCGGGCTGCAAAGTTGGCTCATCGGCAAGATCGGTGAGAGTGGAAGTTAAGCGGCCTTCCATTCGATTCGGAGAAGTTTGTTTGGGGAGTGCAAAAATGGCGGGTTTGGTTGCAGTGAAGCAAGTGGGGCGTGGGTTTTATAGGCCGTTAAAGGTGGGCCCAGCGAGGCGGAAGGTGAAGGTAGGATCTGTCACCTACCTAATAAACCAACCATCCATTTCTCGAATCCCCATTTATTTGTCTCGTTTTATTTTTCCAATTTTATTACTTAATTATTATATTTGGTAAAACGTAATATTATTAAAATACTAAATTAATAAAAATATTCCTAATTTGTCTTTTTTTTTTAAATTAACTTTAAAAAATATTTAATAATACTTTTAAACTAAAAAAAAATCTAAAAAAATATCCTTACACTATATTTTATTTAAAAAAATATATAATAATCTTTAAAAAAATTCCCTTAAATTATTTTTTTTTTTGTTAATACCTTTCAATTTTTTAATTTTTTTTAAAAAATATTGTTACTAAATTTTGAATATGAAAAAAAAAATAATAATAATTTAAAACGTAGTTAATTTAGGAAAGTTTTTATATTATTTTTTTTTGTTAAAATTAATGAAATTAAATAGGATAAATTATTTAACTAATGCTAAACAATTTTCATAAATGTGTTTCATAGTGCGAGACATTTTTTTTTTTGTAAATTACATTAATACCCTCCATATAATTATATTAGAAAAACATTCCCATAATGCGAGCCCAATAATTTTCTCAAATCGCCAAAATGCCCCCAAAGTTATACAATTCGCCGGCCAAATTACATGAATACCCTCCTATGTTAGAAAAACATTCCCATAATCGAGCCCAATAATTTTCTCAAATCACCAAAATACCCCCAAAGTTATACAATTCGCCGGCCGGCCCCGTTCCAGTTAACAAATATTTTGCTTATAGAAAGCTGAAACGGCTAGTTTTTCAAAAACGCGTTTCTCTGGACTCTCACGCTCCAACGGTCATATTTTTATTTACTCCGTTCCCGTGTCCTATAAAACCCCCTCTCCTCCTCCGTTTCCTTCACCGGAATCCCAATTCTTCCACCGCCCTCTCAGAGATTACAATGGAGACTCCGTCGTCGATCAGGCGCTTAACTCGATCCCAAACTCTCGCTGCTACAAACTCCGTCAACAACAGTGAGCCTCGTTTCTACGTTCTTTGAAACCCCGTTCTTGAAGAAACTAAAAGATTGATTCAATCGAGTTTAAATTGATGGGTTATGGTAAATTTAATCTTTGATTTTCTAACGTGAATGCGTTCTTTTGGTCGTGTTTTTAGGGACGGTTGAGGATTGTGACAATAATGGCTTATGGAAATCCCAGGAGCGGAGTCGAAATTCGCAAGATTTGGCCGGGGCGAAAGGGAAAGATCGATCGGCACTTATTGACATTACTAATGACTCCCCCATTGTCAGCTTGGCAGCGGGGAATTTGACGACACCGATATCGTCTGCGACGAAACAGAGGAGTTTTCGGCCGAAGATGATGACTCCCGGATCAGGAGAAGCCTTATTGAGAGGGCAAGTGAAAACCCTTTTGCAGAAAGTGGAAGAAGAAGCTGAAATTTCTAAGCTTTCTTTAGATAGCTGGCCGGTGGGACTTCTCGACCCGATCCCGGCAAACACGCTGCAGATCTTGAATACGTCTCGGGATGGAGATCTTTTCGATATCACAAACGATAATCCCGTTGATGTTGATCTGTTTAACGCAAAGAAACAAGAAGAAAATCAGATTACTCGGTCTCTATTGTTGGATTTCGCTGAGAAATCCGAGATAATCGATGAAGATACATCATCAGATTGCTCATCTGTTCTCGCCCGTCAAGAGAAGTTGTCGTCGTTGTCGCCGTCGCTGTCTCAAGATGACGGCGTCTCTTCTCTGTGGTCGATTCAAGTGAACGCAAGCAGCCACGGCGAAGACGTGGATAAAGAAGAGCTGATCGAACCCGAGGAAGAGGAAGAAGACAACGAAGACGGGTTGGTAGACGAGCTTTGTTGGGGACTTAGTAAAATTAGTGTGAACGAGAAGGGGAAAGCAAAGAATTTTACGGGGAAGCACACGAGGTTCGTGTACGATAGTGAAGATGAAGTGATTGAGGAAGTTAGTGACGAGAGCCATGACGAGGTGTCACCAAGCGTCCTCCGTTTGAAGGGAGTACCGACGCCCAAAGGAAAACATTTACGATTCCAATGTGAGAGCGAATAGTTAAAAAAACAAGATTCGATTGAAATATGTAATGTTGTCTTTCTTTGACAACGGCTGTTTTTTAGTGTTGTTTTTCTTTGCCTTTTGCTTTGTTTGTTGCTATGATAATTACTATATTTTACGAGATGTCAAATATATCATCACGATTGTCTCGTAGTAAACTTCAATAGAGATGGTTCTATACAATATAAAATTGTCTCGTAGTAAACTTCAATAGAGATGGTTCTATACAATATAAAATTATTTTTAAAATTTATAAACTAAATAGATTGTTAGACGAACACGACTCTCCACAATGGTATGATATTGTCCACTTTGAGCATAAGCTTAGATTGTTAGACGAACACGACTCTCCTTAATCGAGGCTCGACTCCTTTGGAGTCTTAGTCATTTTTGACTGACTTCGTAGTTAGTATTCCTCCCCTTAATCGAGGCTCGACTCCTTTGGAGTCTTAGTCATTTTTGACTGACTTCGTAGTTAGTATTCCTCCCCTTAATCGAGGCTCGACTCCTTTGGAGTCTTAGTCATTTTTGACTGACTTCGTAGTTAGTATTCCTCCCCTTAATCGAGGCTCGACTCCTTTGGAGTCTTAGTCATTTTTGACTGACTTCGTAGTTAGTATTCCTCCCCTTAATCGAGGCTCGACTCCTTTGGAGTCTTAGTCATTTTTGACTGACTTCGTACCTTCGAGGAGGCTTGATTCCTTTTGGAGTCCGACATTTAAGGATTTGCCAATCTATTGACACGGCTAAGTTTAGAGCCATATTCTTAGATTATAAACCCATGACCATTTCCTAAATTAACCGATGTGGGACTTTCATCATCCAACATAGATTAATCCAATTAAATGATTAGAATTTAATTTATGGACAAGAATTTAAATCTATAAATGTGTCTTTTAAATTATTTATAAAATTTGTTTACACATTAAAATATTTTAAAAAGTAATTGATATAAATTTAATTTTTATGTCTAATTTATCTTTAAATTATAAATTTTATTCTAAAATTATTAATAAAATTTTAAAAATTAAAAAATTGGAAGGAATTTTAAGAAGCTTCATTTTGAACTTTTTCACTAAAAAATTATGGTGTTGCGTTTCCACGCATCGCGTGCATTTCTTCCCCTTACCACTTCTTGTTTTCTGAAATTAGGGTTTACTTCGCCAACGAAATCCTTCGCCAAGGTAATTCTTCTTCATTTTCACAAATTTGCTTTTGAATGCATCACATGTAGTTGTTCCTTTTCAGTTCGTCGAATTTTTCTCATCCTCCATTTTCCGTAATCGTAGATGGCATCAGAAAATTACACGTTTGGGCGGTACAAGATTGATCCGAAGGAAGTATTCTACTGCACCAGTCTCTCTTACGCCATGGTCAACCTCCGTCCTCTTGTTCCTGGTACTCTACTTTTGTTTTCTTCAGTGCCATTTCCGTTATCGTGTAGTTCTCTGTGATTAACCGGTTTGAGTAACTATGTTTTTCTGTTTATTTTTATATAAAGAGCTTGATTAATGTAAAACCGAGATCTGGAGCAGATTTAAGTAATAATCTGTGCTCTGATCAGACATGTTCTTCAATTGCACATTAGAAATCTTGAAGAGTAACGGGAAGTTCAATAGAGATATTCAGAATTAGATGACTACCATGCAAAACAAAGAATTCAAAACCGAAATGTGCTCCTATTTTCTTATTTTCTCAGATATTGTGAATGTTGGGGTTAGTTTACATGCATTTGACTGATCTCACTAGACAATGGTTTCATACGACAACATCGGACTTATAGAACTTTGGGTTCGCTACCGTAGCTCTTTTCTTGGTAAAGGGTTGCTATCATAGCCATAGGTTTCAACCATACTCTATAGTTCTATATTTTTATTTGCAACTTACCTCAGAGACTACTATGTCAATCCATAGCTATTGTGTTTATATTTCTGTATTTCGTGATGGAATTTTGCTAGGGGCGTGTGCTACAAACTTATTTGTGAAGTATTTTGCAAATTTTCGGTTGGAATATTTGGGGGTAGTAAAGCTCCTAAAAGCTGAGTAGTTTTTCTTTGGAGGTGGACAACTTCAGTAATGTACGGGATTGTGGATGGAGTGGAGTAGAAAGGTTTTCTGAGGTAAGTTTGAGGGAGGTTAAGAGTGATGCTATGTAGAATTGAGAATTTAGGTACCATAGAGAAAGTAAGCTACTTTAGGATTTGCGTTCCTCTTTATACAAATAAACTGCTGCATCAGTTGTTCCATCACAAAACTAAGTTCATTTTCAATTTAAATAGATGGAATTTGTATAAGGATTTCAGTATTCGGGAAATGTTACACATTGGTTAGGTCAAATGGCCAATGAAGGCAGACACCCAGCTATCTTTTTGCAAGGCACAATAGGCACCAATTGTTTGAAGCTCCAGCTTTGCTGATAAGTTTGTTTGCTCATAGAAACTAATGCACAGATGATAACTCCATTCAGAACGTTATTAAACCCTTTCCAGACCTCATATCTTGCCTTATCTTCATCTCATTCTTTATAGGTTTCATATTTGATAATTTTCTTCTGTTGTTCCTATCAGCCCTTTCTTTTGGTCTCTAATTGTCTTTCAATTTGTGTTGACTATTTTTTTTATGTGTGCGTGTTTCATTCTTTGATTGGACTATGCAATTTTTTATTAGTGGATTTTCATCATTAAGAATTTTTGTTTACTTTTTTGGTTTTTATGACTTGTTCAGAAGAAAGTTCCATGAGATTTTATCATGGTACAGTTGTAGTATTGGTAGGTAGAAATGTATACTTTATGCAAAAATATTTAACGTGAGGACATATCATCAACCTGGCTTGGCTGAAGTTCTTAGATGATTGAAGTGGAATAATAATTTTTGTATGAGCATCTTATGTAAAAGATACTTTTGTGCAGTATTCTAGAGCAAGAGCTTCTCTCTTTGTTGAAGTGCACCTGTTTAATTTTGTTCTTATATTCAATGTTCTAACTTCTCCTTCTTACTCTTTGATTAATTGCTTTTGGCTTTGCAGGTCATATCCTTTTTGATGCACAATTTACTGGACTATATTAGGAGGTGCTTGTATGACGATTCTAGAAGTCGTTTATCAAACATTTCATCATGACCCTGAGATTTGAGCTAACAACGATAACACTGTTTCGATTTCTAACCCATGCATTATCTTTTCTCAATATTATCCTTCAAATTTATTCTATACTCATCTTTCAATATAATGAGCAGCACCTCTTATTTCCATTTCATCTTTTTCCAACACAAGGAAATTCTTAGCACAAAATCTAGCATCTCACATTTGGTTGTTCATATTTATTAGTGGAAAGCCTAACAGGTTTACTTTGTGGAGTGAACTTCAAATGTTTGATTGCAAAAGATATTCATGCCAATATAATTGTTAAATGCATTTGTATAGATATAAGAATTATGTTGGTGGTATACTGGTATTGTTAGTTAGGAGTTCAACAATTCAATTTGTGTTGATTATATATGTTCAAATAGGTAGGAAGCATTTGCAAATATTATGCCTATATAATGGATTCCTGCCAAGATTTCCCTGAATGTGTTTGGTAAGTTACATTCTCATCAGGATACATGTGAATTTATGGTTCAATTTGTTAAACACTCAAATTTAGTTCGACTTAACATTTCATACACGTGCTTGTCTGCCCAAAGCGTGAAGTTCAGCGCTTTGCTGATCTCACTCCTGACGAGACTTGTGACCTATGGCTCGCTGCTCAACGGGTTGGTCGTCAGTTAGAGTCATACCATGAAGCTTCATCAATCACATTTGCAATTCAAGTAAGCCATTTTGAAGATATATAAATACAGATTTCCTTTAGACATTGATTCCTTTACTTGTCTTCAACTCATTGGTAGTAGACTGGCATTTGATCGATGCACCTGATATTTAATCAACTTTGTTTGTTGGGTTCTGTTTTATTTTAGTCAAATAAATTTCTTTCTAGAGCCTTCATTGTAGTTGCTGTTATAATTTTTTTGGGTCAAGTAATTTGAAGTTTCCGAGCATCATAACCTTTCTATTGATGTTAAATTATTGATTACCATTTTTCTTGTACTGTCATAATATGCCCTTTGTCTACCTGGATTCTTGCCATGTCTTTCTTTCTGTTTGATACCTTGGATGCCCTATTACAATGTGTTGTGGTGCAAGAAGTGAGTTTTTAGTCGCGTGAAAAGTGCTCTTTCAAATATTCATAGTTTTTGGTAAGTTCCATAGTTTAGGAAGGAAGGCATTCAAAAGCACATCGAGGCTACTCAATCTTAGAGTTGTGCAAATAGTTCTAATATTTAAAATGAATGAGGTGACTTGAACTCTGATGAATCAACATGGTTTATTTGTTTGTTTTTGTAACGCGCATCGTCTTTGGAAAGATATCAACGGGTAGGTGTAGCACTGGACAGAGCTATGGATTTGTGTTTTATTCTCCTAACCTCCTAATTAGTTGAGGGTGATCTTGTAGGATGGTCCTCAGGCAGGACAAACTGTACCCCATGTCCACATCCATATTCTCCCAAGGAAGGGTGGTGACTTTGAGAAAAATGATGAGATTTATGATGCTGTAAGATGATGATGATGATGAATCCATTTCTATATATCACAATACTTCTAGAGTTGTGATAGGAAGCAAAAATCTAATTCATGTTTTGTATTGTGTTATAGATTGATGAGAAGGAGAAAGAGATGAAGCAGCATCTTGATTTGGACAAGGAGAGGAAAGATAGAAACCTAGAGGAGATGGCTGAAGAGGCAGACCGGTACAGAAAGCTTTTGTTGTAACTTTCTTTGATGAGCTTCTGATTATCATTGAGTATTAAGTAGTATTTTCCTTTTTTTTTTTTTATTATTAACTTTGAAGTTTAAGTATCAATGATAATCAATACGATATCTACTTAAAAAGAGATTTTAAGTATCAATTGGATTCTTAATAAATCGAAATTGATAATTTAAGTTTCATTTAAACTCTTCTATGTATAATGATCAGTAGGAATTAGACACCACTCACATAAATTCCCCTTAACATAACTACTTGATTAAACTGTTTACGCCTTCCATCATAATGAGGTTTGAAAGAAGCACAAAAATCACATCACCTAAAAACCTGTTTTATAAGCAGTATCAAAATGGCTGTCCAATTGGAGGGAACTCTATAACATGAGATTTACCTGATTAGTTTCTTATTACAACACAAGCCTGCCTCCCAATTTCCTATCCACCAGTACAGAGCAATATTTGGATACATTCTTTCCACCCCAAAATGTATGCAAGAACTTCTCATATATCAATGCATACACTAATACATATATATATATATATATATATATATATATATATATATATATATATATATATATATNNNNATATATATATATATATATATATATATATATATATATATATATATATATATATATATATATAAGAGCTAGGATAGAGGAAACCCCACCCAACAAAGCAAGAACTTATAAGTGCAGAACACGCATTTGTGAGCCAGAAGGAACAAGAGATTGACAAGACCAATAGCTCATGAAAGGTACAACACTATGCTTTATGGTCAGTATGTGTACACACAATCCAAATCTCAGACATTGATATATGTTATTCTACAGACTTAAGAGATATGGAAATACCAAAAACATATATCAGGAAGACATCATGCCATGCCTGTAATTGCCAGATTGAACAAAAAAAAAAAAAAAAAACACATATACTTTAAACTGGGAAGGAGAATTTTTCTACCTTACAACTCACAATCAGAAGAGAGCGCCCACTTCTTCATCACAATTCAAACTCATCTTCAAGCTTCAGTGCCTCAGCAGCTGCTTCCTCCTCCTCATCATCAACTACAAAATAAGGATTATGAGCCTCAGGCTTGAACTTGTAACCAGTGAATGCATAAAATGCAAACGTTGCCAGTTCCCCGGCCACCACACTCGTCCAAAGATACCGATACGATGTAATTGTCTCAAGTGCATAAACGACAACCCGAGTGAAGTAGATATAGCATATAACCACAATGTAATACTGTCTAAAAAGGGTCAATTTCATCAAATTCACAGCTGCTTTTCCATCTGTTCGTGCAGCCTCACGCAAGTTCTTGATTGACCAAACAATGGGGAACAAAACAGCACAGCAACAGATCACATCAACAAGCAAAAACACCTGTTTCCAAGTGACCCATTCTTGCTCAAATGGCCCAGTTTCATCAGTCACAACCTGGGCAATATTAGCCACCACTTGCAATGGAATCACAATCATCAAGACCTTCTTCTCCTTGTCCTGCAAATATGGTTTCAAGAAAGACCAACCAGTGCCAATCAAGACGATCAAAGTGAACAAGGTGATGCCCTTTAAGAAACTAAATATGTAGAACAGAATATCCCAACCATGGGCGCTCCCAGTGCGCTTAATGTACGATTTATCCTCAGCCTCACAGATAAGATTCAAAGCCTTCAAGATCACAACAGCAAGCATAAAGAAATGAATACCATAAACCGTCAATCGCTTTTTGTAAAGAACATGAATCCATACGATAGCGAGCAAGAAATAAATCATAGAGAAAATGAAGTAAATCCTCGGGAGGATGGTTTTCCCAGCAGAAAGATAATCCCGGCGACCGCTTTTGCCTTCGAGATTGTACATAGCAGATCGAACGTCCATAGAAACCTTAAGTTGCTGAAGACAGTTAGCAAAAACGAGAGTGTATTGATCGGCATCACTCTCGGAATAAAGAACATCGAATCGGTCCTGACCTTTGAGTGAATTGAAGGTGTAGACCGGTTTGACGAGGTCGGATTGAAGAGCGCAAGAGATTTCCGCTTCCTCTAATTGCTGGATCACATGAAGCCACGATTCTCGAGTACAGAGGAAGAATCCAGCCTTGGAGAGGTCCAGATCTGGATTGGTATCGGAGAGTGAGACATGAGAGACGTTGAGCTCGAGACGACCGCCATGGCTGAAGCCGAAGACGTCGAAGGGAATGATTGGTCGATTGTCATTTCTGATGTCGGTGAAGCGAATCTCTGCAAAAGAAGATATAGGTAAGAGGAAAACAAGGAGGAGAAAGATGGAGGAGAAATCCATGGCGGCCACGGCGACGAGAGTTGAAGCCGACGAAGAAGACGATCGGAGTTTTCTTCTTATCTCTCAGATCTGCTTCTGCAAATCTCCCTGGTTATATCGGAATCAAAAAATTAATTTTATTTGGAAATTTATACTTCCACCAATCTTGGTGTTGAAGACGAACTATCCACGGAACTATATTTAAATTAACTTTTTAATATATGTACATAACAAGTGGAGATTTGAATTTTATATATCTTAGGGTTAAAACCCAATACCCGAGCTACTCAAATTCAAGAGTGCAAGAGAAACGACAAAAAAACTAAATAAACTAGAAAATTTCTATTAGGTTCGGTAAGATCAGATCCTTAAAACGTTAATATATATATATTTAGCTCAATAAAAGAAGTGGAGATTTGAACTTTGGACCGGTCGACCCTAATTCTATTAATGGTTAGAATAGATTTGGAGATTAGGTTTACTGTTCCGTTTATATATCATAGGGTTAAAACCCAATACCCGAGCTACTCAAATTCAAGAGGGTAAGAGAAAAAACTAAATAAACTAGAAAATTTTTATTGGGTTCAGCAAGATCGGATCCTTAAAACGTTAATATATATATTTTTAGCTCAATAAAAGAAGTGGAGATTTGAACTTTGGACCGGTCGACCCTAATTCTATTAATGGTTATTTAGCTCAATAAAAGAAGTGGAGATTTGAACTTTGGACCGGTCGACCCTAATTCTATTAATGGTTAGAATAGATTTGGAGATTAGGTTTACTGTTCCGTTTATATATCATAGGGTTAAAACCCAATACCCGAGCTACTCAAATTCAAGAGGGTAAGAGAAAAAACTAAATAAACTAGAAAATTTTTATTGGGTTCAGTAAGATCGGATCCTTAAAACGTTAATATATATATTTTTAGCTCAATAAAAGAAGTGGAGATTTGAACTTTGGACCGGTCGACCCTAATTCTATTAATGGTTAGAATAGATTTGGAGATTAGGTTTACTGTTCCGTTTATATATCATAGGGTTAAAACCCAATACCCGAGCTACTCAAATTCAAGAGGGTAAGAGAAAAAACTAAATAAACTAGAAAATTTTTATTGGGTTCAGTAAGATCGGATCCTTAAAACGTTAATATATATATTTTTAGCTCAATAAAAGAAGTGGAGATTTGAACTTTGGATCGACCGACCCCGACCTAAACCCTAAACCGAGACTCGTAAGACAAATGTCCAAAATGACCTCTCTCTCCTTCCTTCTTAGCCTCCGCCCAAAGGGTGGATTATCCATTAGGGCGTTTTTGAAAAATAGGCCAAGGCGCCAACGAATGGGGCATTTATGTAAGTGGCGGGCTCCGACTGCTGATAGTTATTGCGATCGTCGGAGAACTTATCGCCATTATCAGGTCCACCAACAATGGCGCCAGCGAGCACGTTCGGATTGGGGGAAGAAGAGTACAGAAACTGGAAGCCTTCATTGCAAGAAACTTGATTAGGGCGCGAATGAAGAGACGGCACAGAGGAGCCTCTATGGTGAATATGCTGAGGGTATCGTTCTCCAAATCCCACCATGTATGACATTTTCTCTGGATTTTCTCCTAATATGTAATCAACTTGCTTCTTTGCCTCTGCGATTAGTTCTTCTGGTGAAATCCTTGAAGTTCCACATCGAATTGCTCCTCCGTTGGAGCTTAGGTATTTCGCGTACGTTACAAGGAGGAAGGCTGCTGAAGTTACATATTGCAGGTTGCTCTCGCTTCCTTTGAAAAATAGTCCTCCTGCACTTATCATTTCATGATCACGATTTGTTTTCATTGAAAATGGGGATCTGTTCTGTCTTGTTTGTGTACTAGCTCTGCTTTTGGTTTCATGTGTATAGGTTTAAGCTACATTTTAGTCCTTTACCCTGTGATTTTAGCGTCTATACTTCCAATTTAAGTTAATTTTGTTTCATGTTCTTTTCAACTTAAGTTCATTTTGGTCACTTTACTTTCAAAATATCTATTTTGGCCTATTTACTTTAAACTTTCATTCATATTTGTCTTTAATTTGTTCCTAAACTTTAAAAATTACCATTTTGATTTAAATGAATGGGTAGTATATCTTTAATACGTTTATTAATGTATGAACTTTGGCACTTAAATGAATCCACATAGGTAAGTTGAAAGTGAGTATTGGGTGGGTAAATATTAGGTAGCAAGCACAAATTAATGGTATTGGACAAAAATTGTCTTTTTTAGAAGTTGAAGTACTAAAATAGAGATTTCGAAAGTTTTGAACTAGAACGATCGTTTGTTAAAGAAAAAAGTTTTAAGGACCAAAATGAATATTTTAAAAATTCAAGTATCAATATGAAAAAATGCTTAATGTTTTAGGACATAAACAAAAAATAGGATTAAGACCTCATATATGCACACACATAAAGTAATGACAAGCGAAGAGTTAGTTTTTGCTAACCAGGAGTATATTGACCACTAGAACTGGAAGTTCCTGGAATGAGGGAGCATATGTAGTTATCTGAGTGTGCTTTATAGATTTGGAACTCCTCTGAATTTTGCACTAGGAAATCCTGTGGCAAAGGTCCACGCGATGTTAAGATCATCAAGCTTGAGTTTAGGAATTAGATTTTGGACTGATTTTTATTTAGAGGGAGTAAACACAAACCTGGGAGAGAAGGATTTTGGTTCCCGGGCGCTTGTCGTCCCAGCTGAACGTGTAGTCGTCGTCATCAGCTCCCAGTATATGGCCATTGGACTGGATATAGTTCAAATGTATGCTGTTTTTTGAGGCTTTGTATATCCATGAGGCACCCCATAGAAGCTCATCCTGATAGAAGTCATATAAACTCAGAAAAAACAACACCTAGAAAGAAAACAAGTAGGTTTATGTGTATCTTCTTACTTACATTGTATCCTGAGTAAGAGCAGTAAAATGGACAGACCACTGAATGGAGGGAATCACTGTAAGCACCTCTATGCTTGTCTGCAAAATCGAATACCTGCATTGCATTGATGGGAACTTGTTACCTTGTTTGGAGCATAATGAGGTCCGATGGCTATGTCTAATGTGAAAGAAAAATGGAATAGGAGGGATCGGGAGTATGATTTACTTTTAAGGCCGCGTCAAGCAATTTGTTGGAATATGAAGGATCGGATGTATTGAACACAATCGAAGCTGCAGCCAATGCAGCTGCAGTCTCTGATGCCACATCGGAGCCTGGGTTTTGAGCAGTTATCTTATACACAGTGCGTGGTGTGTCCATATCTTCTGGCCTTTCCCAACATTTATGATCAAGGTTTGGATCTCCCACCTTAACACCACAAGTTTACATACGTTACAAATATCCTTATTATAGTGATTATTATTATCTTAATCATCTTATTCTTCTTTATAGTCACTCTACTCACTTGAACATATAAGCCATTAGGCGCGTCGGTGGCAGCCTTCAATAGATAATCCGACCCCCAACGGACTGCTTCTCTTGCATTCTCAATCTCGTTCCCCATCGAGTCACCAAACTCAATGACACTCCAAGCCAACAATGTAGTAGTAAAGGCCATTGGCAAGCCAAACTTGACATTATCCCCAGCATCATAGTAGCCACCAACAAGGTCAACCTGGAAAGTTCATATTCACGTCTTATCAAGTTAGAGCCTGAGTTATTTATCAATATCAACTAGGTTAGACTTATATAGAAGTAATGAACATCAAAATAAGCAAAAGGGGAACAACGCACATGATAAGAGGAGCCATCTGATAAGGCAGAATTTCCTCTCCATGTGAGACGTTGGTTCGAGGGAAGCTTCCCGGATCGCTGTCCCTCAAAGAAGAGAATGGAATACTGAAGAGCAGTAGAGTAATGTTGAGAAGTGAAAGCAGAGGAAGATAAGGTAAAGAAAGGCAAAATGAAGTAGAGGGCCAAAGTGATGGAATAAGGCATTGTTATGTGTTATATTATAACACTCACTCGTGCTGAACTGGGGCGTTCTTATAGAGAAGAAAATTTTGTTTGTTGTTGGTTGAGAGAGAAGTTATTCACGGGATCAACTGCGCCAAAATGGAAGTTAATAGGTGAGGTGAGGACAAACCAACTTTACGGTTGGGATTGGATTGGATAAAGGAATGATAAAGTCAGAGAGAAAGAAGAAAAAACTAAGGAATTGAATTTATGGGGTATTGTGTAGCATTTAACATTAGCAAAAGTAAGGCGTAATTTACGTGGAAGAGGGGGAGAACTTTGGATGCCCAAATAAGAGGCGGAAATACTGAATTGAATATAGGATCAGGAATTTGTCTGTATTGCTAAATGAGAAGTCACGGGTGCTTATTTTTCATGCATACTTTCTCTGCTCACATGAATTGCTCTTCTGCCACCAACAATCCAGTGAGTAAAATTATGCATTCTTTCAAGTTTCATATCTTGTGAGTGGCAAGTGGGATTATCCTGAACTTTCACATGTGTCTTCAGCATTCATATTTTAACATACACCTTGTCCTCTCTAGAAACAAATTAGAAATGTATGTCTGATTTGTGGTAGAAAAAAACCTTGATTTGATTGTTTTAGTCTGTACAATGTCATAACTTTAAAGAATTTTACTCTTCACTAGGGTTTTGAAGGGCAAATGCTCACGGTTTTTGTAATAGCCCAAGCTTACTGTTAGTAGATATTGTCCTCTTTGAGCTTTTTCTTTCGGGTTTCCTCTCCAGGTTTTTAAAACACGTCTGCTAGGGAGAGGTTTCCACACCCTTCGGGGCCTTGCGTCTTCGCTGGCACTTGTTCCCTTCTCCAATCGATGTGAAACTCCCCAATCCACTTCCCCCTTTGGGGCTCAACCTCCCTTACTGGCACAATGCCCGATTTCTGGGTCTGATACCATTTGTAATAGCCCAAACCCATCCCTAGCAAATATTGTTCTCTTTGGGCTTTCTCTTTCGAGATTCCCCTTAAGGTTTTTATAATGCGTGTGCTAGGGAGAGGTTTCCACACTCTTATAAAGAATGTTTCGATCTTCTCCCCAACTGATGTGGGATCTCACAATTTTCTTCTTATGTGAAGTTTACTAGTTCAAAGGGACATGCGATAGGAGCTCTTCTTAACTTTCAAAATTATAAATTTAATCTTGGGTTTTAGAATTTTTTAAATTCACGGATTTAGGGAACACATACTTTAACCTAATCATTAATTAATTTGGGAAGGACTAATGGGATTTTGCCCGTTAAAGATGGTTCAATGTGAAAGAAATCTAATTATGGACTCCTCTATCGAGACCATGAACAAACTTGTTCCTTAAACTTAAATCCTTCCTTGAAATAACCCTTGATGTCTCCAGATTTGTTCCTTGGGAGGTCGCACATTCCCAGGATTAGTGAGGGTCAGTCCCCAGCATTCGAGTATCAAAAAAAAAAAAAAAAATCCCTTTCTTTATTGTTTAAGCGCAACTATGGTCTCTATACTTGGATCATTGGTAGGTTGTTTATGTCTTCCATGGAGGCTGCCAAAGTCGGAGAACTTAACCAAATAGTCGAGTTATAAGTGTAGTTATTAGATTGAGACTTTTGTCTATGCATCTTATAGATATTTAAACTTTCAATTTTGTGTCTGATAGATTCTTAACAAATTAAATTCTTTTCTAGCCTAACAAATGTCAATGTTTTAAAAAAATGTCAATGTTTAAAGACTAAATTTATAATTTTAAAAGTTGAAAGACATCTAGCCTAACAATAATACACATCGATACCCTTGATCCTCATAGAAGGTTATGTGATATTGTTGCGGGCAAAGATGGAAGCATAGAGCTTCATAGGGATCTAAAGCCACCTATTTGCTAAAATTATTGTAGTTCTATCCTGTGACAGGCAATTTGGAGCTCATGTCCTATCAGGGTTTCTTGTGATATTTTAGTGAAACTTAGCACAATCATTATTGATGATATGATATATACTCTAAAATTGTATAAGAAAAAGATATCATTCAATTATTTGAATCAACATTCGGAACACATGTCTTGTTCAAACCTTAATCTTCTAGTTCTTGCTAAAAAATTATTATGATTATTATTTTTTTGCCTCGAATGTTATTGTCCATTCTCTAGCTAATTGTTTGAAAACAAGAAGATTTTAATAATGCTTAGCTTATCTTGTGAGCCTTCTTAGATTTGGCCTTGATTTAGGGTCTAGTGTGATATAGAAGAAAAAGAACCCAACTCGATTATGGGTTATACTAAAGTTAGGCTAAATATATGGTTTAATTCTTTGGTATCCTGAATGTTCTAAGTAGTCTTTAGTTCGTCACTATAGGTAAATGGAAGAAAGAAAACGATTGCACATGCCCCTCATTCACTCCTTACTAATATATTAGAAAGCTTAAGTCCTTTCGGTCGATCACCTGAGAAGCCTTCGATGAACAACCTATAGTTTAATATATACTCAATGAAAAAACAGATTTAGAAGTATGTAGGACTAATATGAGGAAGAACTGTAATTCTTGCCCCTTGCGTGGCGTCTCTCATTCCGCCATGGCTTGTATGCACCTTCTCTTGATCCGGTCAACTTATGCTATCGTCAATCCTATGTCCAAAGAACTAGACCTTATGCAAAACACTTTACATAGAGAATAAATTTTTCCTTATGATCTAGAAGAACGCTGCTCTCTCTATATGTTAAAAAGGTGCTCCACGTGTTCTTCCAATGATAGTATACACCAAAATCTCATCCGGTCTATTTATTAGAAATTAGTATAAAATAGCACAGATTACGAGAAACTTCTCCCTTTCACGATGCATGAAGGGTAAAATCCTTTATTCATTTTTGTGCTAAAGGAGACATTGGTTATACGAACAAGATATCTTATTATAAACTCACATAACACATAACACATAATACATAGTAATTAGTAGAAAAAATAGATGAGAAAAAGTGATCTAAGAGAAGAAAATTTAAATTTTCTAGCAATTTTCTTGGAATTTGGAGAAAAAAACTAGATTTAATTTCTACCCATCGCCTAATTTTAATCTGAACTTTTTTATTTGCTTCATAGGTTACCAAGCTGATGAGTAACTACGCCCTCCAAGAAGCTTATGCTGAAACTGATGTTCTTGCTAGAGACGAATATGGGAGGAGTTAGCAACAAAGAAGGTCTTACATTTTGCACCGTTACGTGAGATTAGTTGAGGTACGCACAAGCTCGTTCGAATATTTAGGAGTGATCATTTGTCGGTTGGTGTTGATTTTATACTTAAATTGATATAAAAATTTAATATGTTTGGTTTCCGTTGATTGGAGATGGTCAATTTTTAAGGGTTATGTGATGCTGACCGACTGACCATATTGGCCTTGGTCTTCTATAAACTTTGTAATCTACTCATTTTGTTAGAGTAATAGTGCTTTGTATCGAGCGAATATTGAAAGATTTGAAAAAAAACATACATTTTTACGCACAAATTTAATTCGACTTTCATTAATGTGGTCATTTTGAACTTTTACGATTTTAATATTTTAACCCTATATCCATTGTTAAAATATAAAAAGAACTAGTTTTTAGATCGAGATTTTGAGATTTTGATGAACTAGATAACTCGAACTTGAGGATGAGGTTAGAAGCAAATGTGTGGCTATGGTGTGAAGAATGGATAAAGGCAATTTGTGGTGGTTGTGGACACTTAAAAAATAATTGTTCTACACAGTTGGTACCTACAATAGTACCAACTTAATGTATCCCTGACACAATTTTATTCCATTCAAGTGGTCATGTGTTCGAGTTAGTTTTGACCATGTGTTTGAGTCATTGACTATCACAAGTTTTAGCCATGTGTTTGAGTCATAATCCTCTCAAAATCTTGATCATGTGTTCGAGTCATAGGCTATCACAAACCCTGACTATGTGTTCAAGCCAAAGACTATTACAAACTTTGTTCACGTATTCTAGTCATAGTCCTCACACAAACCCTAGTCATATGTTAAAAGCAATCGATAGCCTTAGTCATGTGTTCGACTTATAAGCCATCACGAGCTTTATCCATGCGTTCGAGCCATATGCTATCACAAGCCTAGATCACGTATTCGAGTCATAGCTCTCACACAAGCCCTGATCATGTGTTCGAGTCATAGTGGGAAGGAAGTTTCGGATCTTAGAAAGGAAGTTCAACATTTCGATTTTTTTTTAAAAGAGACTTGCTAACCACGATTTATACAAAAGTAAGATTCGTGTTTATCAAACAATTTCGAAACTTTATTAAGTTCAAAGTCCCTCAAGTTAGATCATAGGTGCATGTATCACTTTCTTTCCCTTCGTCAGGAATCTCGGCTAATAGTAACTTTTATTCTAGTTGGAATTCAAACTTCTCATTGTACTTATTAATTTCTTTAATCAATTACGCTACTTTGAAGTAGGCTCCACAATGGTTACTTAGTCAAACTATTTAATCATTCTATATTGAAATTCACACACTGTCTCACCTCTCGTAGTACCCATTGTTACTTAAAACCGTATGACTCGGAAAATTTGGTTAACCTAATTCATAGTCGAATTGAGTTATGAACTTATTTGAATTGGATCAGGTAGGATTCAAATAAATAAAAATTTTATGGATTGAATTGGTTCATGTGTTCTCCTAAATGAAGTTGGATCGAACAAAAACGACTCCGACCAACTCAATCCAACCCAACCTAAAAAATTGACCACTCGAACAATTGGGTCAGGTTTCCAACCTAACCCACGAATACCCCTGATTGTAATCAACCTTTTATAGTCTTTTTTTTCGTAGATTTGGCGATCGAAATTAGACTTTTAATAACGTTTTTGTTGCTATCAAAACATAGTTCCCGAAAAAACAAAACAATTGACTTCAACCCCATGGAAAACACACATTTGAATTATAATTTGATCATCAATCTTTGTTTTTTCCATTTGAACCCAAACAAACTTTCCATCGTAAGTTACTTCTACCTTATAAAATTTGACTTTCTAGAACTCGAGCAATAACCGACAAAAGTTCATTCAGTTATTTGCTCATCCGCTGGGTTTGGATTGTCAGGTCTTGTACAGATACAAGTTTTTTAGAACGTTCCAACGACTCTAATGACACTTGTTTGAAGAACGAAAAAAGTCGTCAATGGTACCCGGATGAAAAATGACCTAACAATGGCCAATAATGAAACTCAAAGTGAACGACACAATCTAATTATAGAAGTACAAAAAGAAAGTTTTATTGTTCGAACAATATATATTTATGACACAGATTCAACACAGGATCGTACAAAGCTTAAAACATGCACATACTGATTCACAACATAAACTGAAACGAAATGAAGAACGTTATTCGATGCAACATTATTCAAGTCTTTGAAGTATGGCAGTTCTTAAGGTCTTTTCTCTCAAGGTTACCCCTTGAGGAACTCTGATAACAACATCTTGCAACATTAGATCATTTACACTTGACAAGCTTGCTTGACGAACTTGAAGTCCCAAATCTTTAAGGACATTCATAAGCCTTGCTGATGGATAATTTTCATCTCTACAATGAACTCTCACTATAGCTTCTGCCCCCACAAGCTGCACCTCGACGGTATTATTGTTGTAACCGTTGTTCATTGCATAGCTCGTTGAGCTCACCGTCTGCTCGATCGTTGAGATCCCGCTCCATTTTTGATCAAATGCATTGCTCAAGCTACTACTAGCTTGGTGTTGTGATTGTTTTAGCTTTGACTCCATTTTTTGAACCTTGGCCTTGAGCTCATTGATATATACTATCGCGTCGGCGAGTAACGACGCTTTGTCCATTTTTGATACGTTCGGTACCACTGATCGGAGCGCGTAGAATCTGTGGTTTAGCTTCTGCCGTCGTTGCCTTTCCGCTTCCACATGGTTTACTGGCATTGTGGACTCTACTTTATTCTTCGCCTGTCTCTTCCCCTTCTTGTTACCAACTGTGAAGAAAGGGGTAGATCGTGAGTATATAAGTAAAAAACACTATTTCCACTGACGTGAGGCCTTTTGAAGAAACGTAAAAATCATTAGGGTTTATGCTCAAAATGGACAATATCATACCGACGTAGAGGTTTTTTTGTTCCTAATAAGTGGTATCAGAGTCATGCCTTTAACTTAGTTATGTCAATTATCAGATGTCGAACAAAGAAATCGTGAGTATCGAAAGTGTGTAGTCACAGTGAAGAACCGTGTTGAGCTCTATTGGACTGGTGATGTGCTCTAGAGAACAGGAGTTCACCTGGATAGTGCTAGACGGAGAGATGGTTACTTAAGAGAGAGACTCAATGGTATTTTGTTCGAGTGGAGGTTTGTGCAGTCATGCACTTAACTTAGTTATGTCAATAAAATTATCAGATGTCGAACAAAAAAGTCGTGAGTCTCGAAAGTGTGTAGTCACAGTGAAGAACCGTGTTGAGCTCTATTGGACTAGTGATGTGCTCTAGTGAAGAGGAGTTGACCTGGATAGTGCTAGACAAATAGATGACTATTTTAGAGGAGACTCAATGGTATTTTGTTCGAGGGGAGGAGGAGAAACTAAAAGTAAAGCCACGAGAGAGAATCTCGAGAAACAAACTCACCGTTATTATTGTCTACCGTTGATAAGAAATTCCCATCGGAGTTATCAGAGAGGGAATCGGAGGACGACCCTCCTCCGCCACGGCCACCGTTCATCTCTCTCTTGACTATACCGGAGCACGGTGGGGCTTGTAGTTGAATTATCCCTCCACCACCAACACCCACATGATCTTTTTGTTTAAATTGTGTAGAACTTGCTGAAAAAGTTCCAAAAAGTGATTTTGCAAAGTGAGCTAAGCTCCAATCTTCTTTAATCAACTCAGAAGAACCCAATTCAAGAACCCCATCAGATGTCGAAACGAAAACCAACGTCTGAATCCCTCGTAAACGCGCTTCTTTAACTCGATCGCATTCGTACAAATGTAGACTCTCGTCTATCGTCAACCAAATGTACGCGCTCGAGTCGAATACTTGACCGACCACATTATCCACCCCACCATACATCTGGGAAATAGATACCGTATAGTACCTATTAAGAATATGAATAAATGATTAACCCTGGCCTAATTCATCCGTTTAAATATGCAACAGCCCTAATTTTCAAACAGAGGAGGGGAGGGTTAGCTCATAAATAAACCCACGAGCTAAAATTCAAGCTTTTGGATTTAGTGATAGTTTAAACCGTACCCTTCCAAGTCGGAGAAATCTCCAGCTTCCGCTCGATCCACCGCAACTTCATCGAACCCGAAACTAATGAGTTGGCTGCCGCCGCCACCGCCACTCCTAGTGCCACGGAAATAGCCATCACTCCAAGAGAAAATAAGATTGCTAGCGGAATCTTTAGAAGCCAACCAAAAGATTGAATAAGCAAACCATTGAGGGAGATTATGGAGGATGAATTGAAGCCTCTGCTGAATGGTATGAGCAGATGAATTTGGTGAAGAAGAAGAAGAAATAGAAAAATCATCCATTTTTTTTTTAATTAAAAAAAAGAAAAGAAATGAAAAGGGTCAAAAGGGGAGACAGAAATGAATTAAGAAGGTAATGTGACAAAATGAACATCCAGATTATATAGACACAATAAAAACAATAATTTAAAATGTTTTTTTCTGACAAATTAAATAAACCCACTTTGTGTTTGTGTTTTACATGTTCGGTAATTCAAATCATTCACACACTAAATCCACGTGCTTAAATTCAACTTTTTTCCTTTTAGGTTCATGTATTTTGCAGAAATGGGCCTACATTTTAAAATTAAAATAACATTTTGTCCCTCGCATTAAATTTCGTTCAACTTTCGATCTTAGTTTAAATACGTGACCGTGACCCATTACGTATCGCGGTCTACCTCACAGTTAAAAAACAAAAAAGGTTTCTACACCCTTATAAGAATTGTTTTTTGCCCCCACCCAATATTTTCGCTGGCACACCGCTTGGTGTCTAGCTTTTATATCATTTGTAACCGTTGAATCCCACTGCTATCAGATATTATTCGTTTTGGCCTGTTACGTATCACTTCAGCCTCACGGTTTTAAAATGTATCCGTTAGAGAGAGATTTTCACACTCATAAGAAATGTTTTGTTTTCCTCCCCAGACGACCTGAAAACCAAAATTGTATTTTAATATTATTAATTTGATAGAACAAAACATTAAAAGTCAAAAAGAAATAAAGAAAATTAAACCTTCAAATTTAATAAAAAGAAATAAATATGGGCAAAAAAAAAAACATAGTCCATCAAAACTATGAACCATTAATATATGAACCATTATTTATTTATCTAAATTGTATTTGTTTTCTTAATATTAATTTATTTAGCTTCGTCCTCTCGAGAAATATTTGATTCTTTTACAACAAACAAAAAAAAAGTTTTAAAAATGGTTTTGATTTTTTTTTTAAATAGTTAAAAAAAAAAAAAAAACTTTGAAGATAGAAATTTGTATTTATAAATTTAATTTTAAAAAACAATACGATAAGGGAGGGAGATCTAAGGTAGGCGGTTGACCTCTTTAATGACATTTATTTTCAGAACCAAAATCATGTCAGCGGTTTGGGATCACAAAACAGAGCCGCAGTGACCTCTTTGATGACATTTCATTACTGAACCAAAATCATGTCCTCGATTTGAGACCACATAAAAGAGCTAAGATGTTGACATTTTTCCGAAGAGCACTATATGTTCTACATTTCTCAACAATAATACAATTATAGGAAAAAGAAAAAATTTAAAAATAGTCTCGTAAGTTAATAATTTTTTTTGTTTATCGACATTTTCATCGTTAGTTCACTGAATTGTTATTTATATTTTTACACGTGTCTTTAAAAAATTATTTTAAAAATCACAAGAGGAAGATAATATAATACAAATAACAAGTTTTCAATATATTTAAAAATGATGTGTTTTATTTATTATTCAAATGTTGTTTAGCTCATTTTATTTTGTCCTATAGATTAGGCTTAATTTTTCTTTTTCTAATTATGAGCCAGGTAACATTTGTTTATATATATATATATATATTATACCTAAAATTTTAAAGGGGATATATAACAAAAGTTAACCAATTTTAACGTATATTAAGAGATTAAAACAAAACTATAACACAGGAAATAAAAATACAAACGGATCAACCAAAAACATCACACTAAATCAAAATTCCAACCAACAATAAATAGCAAATATGATTCTCAACAAATTTATAAAAAAAAAAATAAAGAAAGTAGCAAATCATAAATAAAACTCCATCAATATTATATATATGGAAGACCTCAAACAAACTTACAAACAAAAGTTCCAAGAGTTCCAAGAGAAATCGGATCAATAAAGCGAACAACCGATAAAAAAAATCAAACACTACAAATTCAATACTAAATGGGACCATATCAAGCATAAAAATAATAAGAAATAAAAATTCAAACAAACTCAAAACAAAAATCTAGAATTAAATACATATGTCAAACAAATAAACAAAAAAAAAATGTCAATAAAAAAATAAAAAAAATACCCCAAAAAAATAAAATAAAAATAAACATAACCATAAGCAATCAAAACTTAAACAATTACAAAAATTTAAGATTAAAAATACAACGATCAACACACACAACGCTACATTTCAAAATAAAAAAAAGATAAGTTAAATCACTCAACTAACAAACTCAAATGATATTACAAATCAAATAAAACACAAACGAAAGAAAATAATATCGTAACAAGACAAACAACAGTCAAAAAATAAAAAAAGAAATCAAATATACCAAATTTAATACTAAACAAGATAAACCACAATGCATAGTTCAAAGAACTCACCATAATTTTAGGACTAAATTACAAATAAAAAAACAAAACACAATAAATTTAAAAACCAAAAGAAAACAAAGGAGAAACATAAAAGTTAGTAGCAAACAATTACACCATAGCAATCAAAACTCAAACAAACAATTACGCAGAACAATGGAAAGAATATGAAATGTAATGCACAAAAGACAAACAAAGAAATCAAATACACCAAATTTAATACTAAACAAAAAAAAAAACAACAAACAACAATCTAATCCACAAAAATTCAAAGAACACAATAAATTTAAGATTAAAAAAAAAATCAAAATTCAAATAAACACTCACACAAATTTAAAATCAAAATACAAATATCAAAACAAACCCCAAAAAAATTATGACATGAAAAAGGAAAATTGAGTGATAAAAGAGAGTAGTAAACTATTGAACTAATAAAATTCCACTGAGATTACAAATTAAATCACTTACAGAGAAAAACAACAAAATAAATATTAGAATTAACAAAGCAAATAATATGCATATAAAGAACACTTCAAATTCAATACTAAAAACAAACCAGAACCAACAAAGCAAACAATATGCACATAAATAACGCTTCAAATTCAATACTAAAAATAAATCACATTTCAAGTTAAATACTAATCGCGACCATAACAAGCAAAAATATAAAAAAGAATCAAAATTCAAATAAACACACACAAATTTAGAATCAAAATACAAATATCAAAACAATCCCCAATAAATTATTACATTAAAAGGGAAAAAGAAGTCATAAAAAAGAAGAGTAAACCATTGAACTAATAAAACTCCACTGAAATTACAAATTAAATCACTTATAGAAAAAAGTTACAAAAGAAAAACTAGAATTAACAAAGCAAAGCAACATACTCAAAGCAAACCAATGCAAATCAAAATTCAAAGAACACTTCAAATTCAATACTAAATTAAATTGTACTCAGCAAAAACATCACAAACAATACTAAATACATCTCTACTAAGCAAAAATATCACAAACAATGACAAAGACTTTGAATCAAAATACAAATAAAAAAAACAACAAATCAATAAATGAAAAAAAAATAAAGAAAATAACAAATTATTTAACTAATGAAACTTTATTTAAATTAGAAATAAAAAAACTCAACAAAATTCAGAAAAAGAAAAAATAAGATGAACAAAGCAAACAATGCACAAAAAAAAAGAAAAAAAATCATAAAAATATAGAATCTAAATAAAAATATCAAAACAAGCCCCAATAAATTTATAAAATAAAAAAAAATAAACCATGACATACATTTAAAATCAAAATAAAAGTATAAATAAACAACAAACAGTCAAAATTCACAATAGGGAAAAATAAGATAAACAACGCAAACAACATGCACAAAAAAAATCATACACTTCAAATTTAATACTAAACCAAACCAAACCAAAAGAACCATCGCAAGCAATCAAAATTCAAATAAATAATAACAAAGATTTAGAATCAAAATACAAATACAAAAACAAACCACAATAAATTTATAAAATGAAAGGAAAAAATATATATATATATATATAGATAGAATAGTAAACCAATCAATAATAAAAAAAAAAAAAAACTACTCATATTATAAATCAAAAAACTCACAAACAAAAGTCATAAGAGAGAAAATAGGATCGACAAAACTAACAACAAAGGAGAAGAATGATGAACAAAGACGAGAATATAAATTAGCTGGAAAATAAGTAAAGCACGTGCTATAATTACCTTCTTTTTCATCTCCTCATTTGCCCCTTCATTAAATTTGTAATTTTTTTCCACATACTTAGCATGAATCGAAAAATGAGATTCAACAAATTAATTTAAATTTTGAAGTTTGAAAATTAGTAAAGTAAGGGTGATAACTACCTGCCAACCTTAGCTTTTATGGGAGTCGAAATTTCCTTCTTCATCTCCTCATTTGCCCCTTTACCGATTTCATTTAATTTGTAATTTTTTTTACAATTTTCAGCAAAACAATAATGAACAAGAACAAAAAAAAAATTAAGCTTTAGTAAATTAATTTAAATTTCAAAAAAGGTTAGCGGGAAGATTTTTAAAACACATGCTAACTACCTGTCAAATCATGGCCTCCATGGGAGTTGAAAGTTTCATTTTCATCTCCTCATTTGTCTATTTCCTGACTTCATTTAACTGTAATTTTTTTTACATATTTTAGCAAAACATTACCTTAACAAGAACCAAAAAATAAAATTGAGCAAATTAATTTAAATTTTGAAAAAAATACCTGAAAAATAAGTAAAGCACGAGCTATAACTACCTGTCAACCACGGACTCCATAGAAGTTAAAACTTCCTTCTTTTTCATCTTCTCTTTGACCCATTCACTGACTTCACTAAATCTGTAATTTTTTTTCATATATTTCAGCAAAACAATACTTAACAAAAATAGAAAAATAAGATTCAACAAATTAATTTAAATTTCAGAAAGAGTTAGCTAGAAGTTAAGTAAAGCACATGCAATAACCATACTCCATAGGAGTTGAAACTTCCTTCTTTTTCATCTTTTCATTGGCCCTTCACTGACTTCACTAAATCTGTAAAAAAAATTCACATATTTCAACAAAACAATACTTAAACGAGAACCAAAAAATAAGATTCAGCAAATTAATTTAAATTTTGAAAATGTTAGCTGGAACATAAGTAAAACACTTAAGATAACTACCTTTCAACCATAGACTCCATAGGAATTTAAACTTTCTTCTTTTTCATCATCTCATTGGCCCCTTTACTGACTTCATTAAATCTAGTCAAATCTGTAATTTTTTTTCCACATATTAACAAGAACCGAAAAATAAGATTCAACAAATTAATTTAAATTTTTAAAAAGTTAGATAGAAGATTAGTAAAGCACATGCGACAACCATGACCTCCATGAGAATTGAAACTTCCTTCTTTTTCATCTCCTCATTTGCCACTTTACTAGCTTCATTTAATATGTAATTTTTTTTTTCACAAAATTTAGCAAAACAATAATTAACAAGAACCTAAAATTATGCTTCAGCAAATTAATTTAAATTTCAAAAAAGTTAGCGGGGAAGATTTGTAAAGCACTTGCGATACTACCTATTAAACACGGCTTCCATGGGAGTTGAAACTTCCTTCTTTTTCATCTCCTCATTGCCTCTTCCCTGATTTCATTAAATCTATATTTAAGCAAAAGAGTAATGAACAAGAACCTAAAAAGAAGCTTCAGCAAATTATTTTAAATTTTGAAAGAGTTAGTTAGAAAATTAGTAATGCACGTGTCATAATTAACTGTCAACCATAGTCTCCATGAGAGTTGAAACTTCCTTTTTCATCTCCTCATTTGCCCCGCTTCATTAAATCTATAATTTTTTTCACATATATTCAGCAAACCAATAATTAACAAGAACCAAAAATTAAGATTCAGCAAATTAATTTAAAAAATAGTAGGAAGATTAGAAATGATAACTACTTGTCAACCACCTACTCCATGGGAGTTGAAACTTCCTTCTTTTTTTATCTCATCATTTGCCTCTTTCCTGCTTTCTATTAAATCTGTAATTTTTTTCACATATTTCTGAAAACAATAATTTAAATTGGAGATGAACATATAACATGTAAAAACAAGACTATAAGTGGCAAGCAAAACATCACAACAATCAAGAACATCTTAGCACCATAACATTTATACAATTATCAAAATTTAATAGAAAAAGAAAAAACACCAACGGAAGCAATTCATCCATCATTCATATATTTTATAACCAAGAATTGAGAATATAAATATCACTACAACTCAATAACAACATGAAGAAAGCACTAGGCAAACAACATTTCAAATTTAATACCAAACGGAACTACTCGAAACAGTATATTATTATATGCCATCAAAATTCAAACACACAATATCAAATATCTAAATCAAAATACATAAAAAGGAAACCACAATCAATTTATAAACGGAAAGAAAAAAATAGATTTAGAAAAAAAGTAGTAAACCATTCCACTAACAATGAGAATATAATAACCAATGGGGAGAAATAATATCAACAAAACAAACTATTAAAAAAAACAAAAATATAGTAAAAAATCAATCATTTCAAATTAAATACTAAAAGTGACCATATCAAGCAAAATCATAAGAATCAAAATACAAATATCAAAACAAATCCTAATAAAATTATAACTTGAAAAAGGAAAATGGAATCATGAAAGAGAGTAGTAAACCATTGAACTAATAGAACTCCATTGAAATTATAGATTAAATCACTCACACGCAAAAGCCACAAAAGGAAAACTAGGATCAACAAAGCAAAGAATAAATCACTCACACACAAAAGCTACAAAAGGAAAACTAGGATCAACAAAGCAAAGAACATGCCACAAAAGGAAAACTAGGATCAACAAAGCAAAGAATAAATCACTCACACACAAAAGCTACAAAAGGAAAACTAGGATCAACAAAGCAAAGAACATGCACAGAAAGAACAAAAAAAAATCAAAAATCAAAATTCAAAGTGAACAACACATCCATAAGAATACTTCAAACTTAATACTAAATGGAACTGTGGTAAGAAAAAACATCACAAACAATCAAAATTCAAACAAATAATGACAAAGATTTAATAAGATCAAATTACAAATAAAAAAAACAAATTAATATGAAAAAAATAATAATAATAACAAATCATTTAACAAAAACTCCATTGAAAACAAAATTCACAAGAGGAAATGTGCTAAGCAAAAACATCACAAACAATCAAAATTCAAACAAACAATGACAAAAATTAATATCAAATTACAAATAAAAAAAATAAATTAATATAAACGAAAAGAAAATAACAAATCATTTAACTAACTAATGAAACTCCATTGAAATTAAAGATAAAAAAAATTCATAGACAAAATTCACAAGACTAATTGTGCTAACCAAAAACATCACAAACAATCAAAATTCAAACAAACAATGACAAAGATTTAAAATCAAATTACAAATATAAAAAAACAAATTAATATAAACGAAAAAAATAATAATAAATAATAAATCATTTAACTAACTAATGAAACTCCATTGAAATTAAAGATTAAAAAACTCATATACAAAATTCACAAGAGGAATAGTGCTAACCAAAAACATCACAAACAATCAAAATTCAAACAAACAATGACAGATTTAAGATCAAATTACAAATAAAAAAATAAATTAATATAAACGAAAAGAAAAAAAAAACAAAAAAAAAACAAATCATTTAACTAACTAATGAAACTCCATTAAAATTAAAGATTAAAGAACTCATAGACAAAATTCACCAAGAGGAACCGTGTTAAAACAAAAACATCACAAACAATCAAAATTCAAACAAACAATGACAAAGATTTAAGATCTAAATACAAATAAATAAATAAATAAATTAATATAAACAAAAGAAAAATAAATAGAGAAAATAACAAATCATTTAACTCATGAAACTCCATTAAAATTAAAGATTAAAGAACTCATAGACAAAATTCACCAAGAGGAACGATGTTAAAGCAAAAACATCACAAACAATCAAAATTCAAACAAACAATGACAAAGATTTAAGATCTAAATACAAATAAATAAATAAATAAATTAATATAAACAAAAGAAAAATAAATAGAGAAAATAACAAATCATTTAACTCATGAAACTCCATTAAAATTAAAGATTAAACAAAATTCACCAGGAGGAACCGTGTTAAAGCAAAAACATCACAAACAATCAAAATTCAAACAAACAATGACAAAGATTTAAGATCTAAATACAAATAAATAAATAAATAGATTAATATAAACAAAAGGAAAATAAATAGAGAAAATAACAAATCATTTAACTCATGAAACTCCATTGAAATTGAAATTAAAGACTAAAGACTCATAGACAAAATTCATAAGAGGGAAAAATAAGATAAACAAAGCATACAATGCACAAAAAAACAAAATAGAAAAGACTTCAAACTCAAGAGCATCACAATGATTTAAAATTTAAACAATCAATCAAAACCAGCCTCAATAAATTTATAAAATAAAAAATAAATAAATAAACCAGGACAAACATTTAGAATCAAAATAAAATTATAAAGAAGAAACAACACAGAAAGCAGAAAATGTAATGAAGCTCCATTTATATAGTTGTGCAAGTGGAGAGACACATAGGGGAGAGATTAAATTACCAATATAGTATTAACAGCTGCCTTACCACGAAGCTATATTTGCTTGTATAACTGAGAGTTGATTGTTTCTTACCGACATTTGAGCTGCCTTTCCAAGAAGCTATACTTGCATGAGCGTATGCGGAGTAGACCAAACACTGGAAATTTATCAGTAGCGTGTGTAAAGAGTCAAGATTACTTGATAAAAGCAGAAGAAAATACATTGAAATCTAAAGCTAAGAGTTTGAGATTTACTTTAACTGGATGAACTAATCAATAGCCATGAGCATTTCAAGCGATCTCATGAGGATACTCTGCATTCTTCGAAGGTTGCATAGTCTAGTCTGAACTTCGTTTCCTGTTCCTCTTCGGCCTTCCCAGCTGAAACTAAATTCACCATCTGATCATGTACTCAACAGAAACTCCACCATTTTTGGGGAAAAATCAAATCGAACTGTGCCACTTTAATATACATGAGCCCAGGCACACAGATTGAGTCCATTAGCATTAAAATCAAATGGATCTAGCCCATACCAAGCTCAAGGATCATAAACACAAGAACCACCGGAAGTTAGATGGATGCACTGAAAAATGTATGAATTAATTAGGCTTAATCTATCATATAATAATGCTAATCTTCATTCTAAGTAAACCTCAGTCACACATTACAGATAACAATAATAACACAATGTGGAAGTAATATACGAAAGAAAACTTGAAGTATCACTGGAAAATTAAGCAATGTTGAAGTATCAAACACAGGATCTTTCAAAAATCACACACATACTCCAACCAAAATAATATGGAACGGACAATTAATCAACTATGTGGCGTAGATGAACAAAAGTCGTTGTGAAATAGAAACATGAACAGTCAGAGGCTCACATAAGATAATATACAGAGTTGTGTATAAGAAGAGGTGATACCTGAAATTAATTGATTCATTGCTTACATTTCCGAAGCCTAGCATAAGGATAAGGTAGAAACTTGAAATTGCTTTCAAAACAGGCTCCTGAGGAGGGCCCTGGGCGTCCTGATTAGACGACGAGTCGATCAGGTTTCATCGCAGGAGCAAGGAAGAACAGTTGGTTTAGAAAGTGAAATCCTCGAGATACAGAGAGTTGTGTATAAGAAGAGGTGATACCTGAAATTAATTGATGTATTGCTACCAATTCGAAAACTTAGATAGCATCGCCTTCTTCAACGAACACTCTTCTTTCTTCTCTGCGTTTCGTAAATTGAGTGCCAGATAGCCGTTATTTATGTTTTTTTTTTTCCTTTTATTTAATTCCTTAATTAAAAGCCCAAAGCCCAAAGCCCAAAGCCCAAAGCCCACAGCTTAAAGCCCAAATCTTCATTGTCTAATTCGAAGCCACAAGCTCCTTTTTTTATTCTTTTAAATAAACAGTAGCCTGAACTTCCTTCAAATTGTGATCGTTATGGTGAATAAACAGTAGCCTGAAACCTCCGGTGAGGCTACTGTGCCAGTTCCCGATGTCATTTTGCCGATGACTACCGCCACCTGATTACCGAGGATCGATTGCAGATGCAGTCGTTTACGTTTATGGATGTTTTTCCTTCTCCAGATGATGTTCTTCCAAGCACGCGTTTTCTCTTTTCAATTTACATTTTATAAAAACATTCTTTCTCAAAACATGATTTGAGGCGAAAGACTACGTCGAGATTGTCGTAATGATCGATTTTCATGTGATTGACTTGTTCGCTCAACAAGTGCTGCACAACCCGTCCCCAAATTTCAAAGGTATTTTTGTATTATTTCACCTATTCAGCATGGTAAAGATGAGATTCAAGGAGACTGAAATGAGGCAAAGAATTAGAACACGAATTTACAATGCTTATTAACAGAAAAGTGAGAGTCCAGTTAAGAAAAGATTCACATACCAGGTAAAAATAAAATAAAACTTGAATCAAACAAACAGAAGGGGTTGCGCCCAGTAAAATCAAAAGTTTAACATTTGAGGATTGTGATTCTTCTCCGCCTTGATTGGCCCAATCAATACGAATACGTAAACGAATACGATACGAATATGATAGGGCCAGGGCCATTAAATCTTTATCTTGTGTGTGGCTTTTGCAGTATAACTTCATTAGCCGCCATCAAATCCCACGTTGTCTCCCCACTAGAGAAACCAAGATACAGCCCACCTCACCTATTTCGAGCGAGAAAAATCGATCCTGAAAAGGTCTTTTCAACTTAATAGGGTATAAAATAAGAACGAATTCACTGTCATAATAGAGATTCAAACATTTGACTTTCCAGAAAGACGTATATTATTGGTTACTCAAGTTGAGCACCATGTTAGATATCAAACTCCTATTTGAGTATAAATCTCTTTTCACAATTCCGAAAGCACTGAAACACGCATTTCTATATGCTCAAGAAACTTGAAACCAAAGTACTAAAGTGATGGATACAGATCAGCAACACAAAATATAACCATCTTCTCCTCAATAAGTCGTCACTTGTAGCATACGAAACGCCTCTCCCTAGCAAGGTTATAGACAGTAATAGAATAGAGGATGATGTTATTCTCTTTTACACACGTTTATATAGAAGGGTTATGTTATTCCATTGTCAATCCGTTGAATGAAACTAAAAATCGTGTGATATATGCTGGCCAATCAATCAATATGAATATATGCTGAAGACATAATAAAGAAGAACAGTAGAGAAGAACTTCAAAGACCTGATAATCAACGCAGAAAGCACTTAAATCTCCATCTTAACCTTCATGTCCCCGTTTGGCAACATACTTTGTGATTGCGCTATCCTTTTCGATTCCTGCATTTGTTGAAACAAGATTAAAATTCGAACGCAATAATATAAAAACATAATGAACGATGTACTTGTATGGAAATGTTGATGAATAAGTGAAAATTCGTAAAAGAAAAAATAAAAAACAAGAGTTTTCGATACAAGTATATCCTTATGTCTTTTATAGTTATAATTGATTCACTAGCTGTCCAAAAAAAGTAGAAGTTTTTGGTTTCCCATACTCATACAGGCTATGGGCACAAAGCTATAAGATGGTGAGTTTGTTAGTAAATGTTGAAGGAAAGGAACGGTCGTCTAAAAAGGTTATCACCCACATATTTTAATATATAGCAATCAAGGTTTATTTCCCATCAAATTCAATTAAATTGTTATCCAGCCATTTGATCTCAGAAAATGATCTGGGAAATAGGAAATATAGCTCAATTGGATTCTATGGTTCCCCTCTAGCAGAAGATATTTAAGCAATGATTGCAGAAGAACCTCTTATCTAAAGCAAGATGGATGTAGTATGTATACATAGTTGCGAAATTTTTGAGCCCGTAAGAGGTTATATCTTGTGTATTCCACTGATATTGCATTAAAATTTCAGCTCCGATCAAATTTTTGGTATCTAAGTCAAAAGGACATAACTCATGCTCGTTCTAATGTCCTTATACAATATAAGTTTAATTCACTTGAAAGGAGCAATGACACAATAACATGTAGCTAAGGCACCGACATGAATAGTCAAACTTAAAACTACCACCAAGTAAAAAAAAAACTCAGTACCCTAATTTCCACTGGGGCACGTGAACAACAGACCTAGATATCACAAAATATTTACTATGCACCAAAAGTGGAAAGATGGTTATACAATTAGAGGCAGTAAGTACTCCAAGTTCTTTACTTCATAAAAGCTAATTACAAAACTTTGCTCAACAAACTAGAAAATAAAATAGTTTAATCTGATTCTAAATTCATTAAGCCATTTTATTCATAAAGGAAAATGTTTTTGAGGTAAAATTGGCTTGAGAGATGTTTAAAAAATAACCAGAAAGTAGTTTTTAAGCAAGCAGAATTCAATCAACCTATGAATCATAAAACAAACATGCTACTTGTTTCCTCTTATTTTTTGACACTAAGAAAAAACCAACGTAAACCATACAACAAAGTAACTATAACCTGCAACCAAGCTCAAGATAACAGAACAGAACTTGTCCAATATCTTATATTAAAACCACTCCTACGTGTAGTAGAGCAGTCTAAAGTGTAAGTGAGTCTTAATAACTTAACATACAATAAAATTAAAGTAATGAACATCCTCCTACTATACCTAGAACTGACACCATAACATAGTTTACATTTTTCACATCTTTGATGTTATATCCAAAACCACCAAAAAGATATAAATGGCCAAGAAATGCTTGTGAAAGGATGAGGCGAACTTTGAAAATACATTTAGCTTATGGCTACAGATAAAGTAAAAATTAAGCCATAAAAGTGTAGAAAATATTTTGATCAGTTTGAAATTAAATATATATATATATAAAAATTTGAAGGTAGTGATAAAATTGACAGCAGGAAAGAAATTTCAACTCACGGCAGCAGAAGCAGCACGAATTTCTCTATAAGACTCGACTTCATCAGGAAATGTCTGTTCAAGCTCCTCCAAAAGATGCTTCCGTAAGCCCTGAATATGGTAAGCAGTACAACCTTAAAATAAATATTTTCTTGAATCTTTGGAATCAAGATAAAAGAAACAAAAGGTATAAGTAGATTTTTAACAGTATGCCCCATAGAGATGTAAAGACTACCTTGAAGGCATCAGTTTTGCCTTTTGTACTTTGATTTTTTGCAATGCAACTATTTAAGACATCCCTCGTGAATTCATCTGGATTCTTCCCATCATCAATCAAGCTAATCAAAAGAAAAGTAAGAAATGGACCAAGAAAAATAGAAGGGTTGAGAAAATAATAATATAAAAAATACGCTTGCGAAGCTAGAGATCAGAGTAGGTGTACAAAGACTCACTTAACAACCTCCATAGGGACCTGGATGGTGCACTTCTCTGATAATTTAACCATGTTATCAAGCTCCAAAACTAGAGAATTACTGCAAAATCCAAAAACATATCACTGATATAGAGTGGAACAAGGAGTGAATAATGAACGAAACAGACATTAGATGAAGCAAAACTGGGCGTACAGGCGTTGTAAAAGAGGCAGCTGATAGGCAGCATTGAAGTTAGAAACGGTGAGGTTGAGCTGATGGAGGATACCCAAAGTTTTCTGTATGGAATTGATTACTTGGTTCAAGTTTTGCTTTGAATCATCCACAGTAGTTGATGCTGAAGTATCATTGATGACTGATCCATTCCCACCACTTCCACCAGTTCCGGCAGCAGAAGATGCATTCTGAGCTGAATCCATTATCTTCTTTTCACTTCCTAAATACCTTGGATGTCTTAAATCCATATTTTCCAACAATTCAATATAAAAGAGAACTGGCAAATAGTTGATCGTTCTGTACATAAACTCAACAAGTACTAACTCTCCAAACTGTCAAAATGCCATTTCAATTTTTAACAATGTCACAAAAACCCTACTTGGGTCTTGCTTTTCTATAAAAATTTATCATAATTTTCGATTCACTAAACATTTCCCCATTTGGAAAGCAGCTGCAAAACGGTTATCATGAAATTACTATCCTCTGACCGCGAAGGGCCACTGAGAAACCCCAACTATGCAAACCCTAAAGTGAAGGGACTCGATCTATTGGCTCAACAGTATCCTTGAAGGAGGAGAAAAAAACAAGCCCTACGACTAGTTAAAATCCCACAAATCATAGCAAAAATAGTAACAAGCTTGAATGAAAACAAAATCAAACCACGTCGCCGTAAACCAAACTCTCTCACAAATTAGAATTACAAAAATCATGGACCGAAGAACAACAATTCTCAAAATCGATCAACAACGACGGCTGAAATCAAAGAACTGAAAATTAAAAGAATATAAAACTTGAATTACTTACTAGTTCGAGGGAGGTTGAGGAAAAAATCGGATGGGGAGCGAGGGCTGAATGTTAACCGTGGAAGCCTGGAGCTTTGAATCCGAGAGGGAAGTGGAAAGAGGTCTAATTTGGGGGCTTTAATGCTGAGCAGCAAAAATATTATTTAAAAATATCACGTGGGGACTTCAAAATTATTTCAATTTTGCCCAAATTTAATAAATTTAAAAATATTTAATTTTTTTTTTATTTATCAGATTAGGTTATTGTTAATTTTTCAAAATATATTTTTGCTCATAATTATATATATCTTTTATTTAATTTTATAATTATTTTTTTTCCCAACAATTTATAAAAATTAATTTTTATCGTAGTTTTTCAAAAAAAAATTGAAATTGAGCTTCATATCTTAATTTAATATTTAAAATAAATAGAAATTTACTTAT